GAAGAGAGTAAGTTGAAAGACTTTCTTTTGGAAAAAATGAACAGCAACTGAATGGTGTCATAGCCATAAATTTGAGCTTGTCGACATGGAATTGCCAGCAGAGTCATCAGAAAATATGGAGGAGGATATCGAACAGGAAAATAATGGGATAGAAAGAATTATTGAAGCTCTGCACACACACTGTTGGCCAAACAGGGAATTAAAAGGTTTTGTTTTTATATAAAAAAAATATAATCAATTGATTTTGCCATCAATTTCCACATTAATCCAGAATTTTTATTGATTGCAGGATTGAATAATGGCAGAATTTCTACGTCGAATGAACCAGACGTGAGTGACGTCGAGAGTCAGTTAGAAAATATTCGTCTGCACCCGAATCGAGATCCAGCAAATCATTTATTGATGGAAAGTGTCTTAGGTAAATCATCCTCCAGAATTTTCAACGTAAAATAATTGCAAAAATATTTAAAATAACGTATGCAAAGTTTTTTTTCTAACAAGTACATAATTGTATATGAATGAGATATAATATATTGAAGGAGATATTCGATTTTATTTCAGATGGAATAATGGGGGAAGAAAATGCTGACTTTGGTGAATTGTTCGGTCAATTAATGGCGATGAAGGAGCACGCAGCGTCTTTATCATCGAGTAATCGCAAGGAAGCAGCTGAACAACTGGTAACAGCTTTCTGGAGGGCAATGGGTGGAGATCCTGGAGAAATCGAAGACCTAGACCAATAGAAAATATACACTACCCAATAGAACTTAAAAAATTGTACAGAGACTAATTAGAAATCATTGTAATCAAATTGTATTATTTTTTAATTAAATATTCATCGACCCATTAAAAAATGCATTCAACGAACTGTTAATCATTATTTCTCCGTTCAATGGGTGAAAAAAAATCGTGAAATACTCGTAATCAGTATTACCCAAATATAATGCCTTTTCTACACAATATGAGTTCTCTCGGGCTTTCGCCTCTTGTAAAAATAAAATGCGCAATTGTAATTTTCCGAAAACCCCAATTTTTTGATAAAGGGATTAATATTCTGAAATAATCGAGTGCAACGAAAGTATAAATTTGAAATAAGAAATTTTGATGCAAAAAAATTTATTAGAAAATATAAAAGGATGATTATTTCCACGAGAAGAAATTAAATAATTACTTAGCACTATCATCAGAATTATCTCCACTGTGTTCCAGGTATGTGACGTTAGCGGACTGCTCTCGGATTTTTTTATACTTCTCAACAAGATCACCAATGGAAATTCTCCTATTATTCTCTCTTTTCTCCATCCTCTGGAGATTGGGACTGGACCCAACAGTCAGTCTGATCTCCATATTCTCCGAGATTGTTGATAATTCACTGACTATTTCCGTGGAATTGAAGGCGGGCCTCTCCACGTAGAGCATCTGCTTCTGTCCAACAATTTTTTCAGGTGTCGAATTCATCGGAGCTGAGAGCTCTCTGCTCAGATTGAATGAACTTTTTGTCGCAAGGTAAGGCTTCAAATCAGACATGTTATAAACATCACCAACAATGCTGCTGTCATTTGAATTTGTCTTCCAGTGCCCTGGAGATACAGCGGAATGATTGTGAATGCTCTTCTTTAAATTTGCGCTGAATAGCCTGGAGAATTTTCCCTTCGCTGTGGAGCCAAATAATTTTCAATTGAAATCAAATATTTCTCAACATAATAACAAATATTAAAAAAAAAGCAATACCTGTTGATCCAATGGGTTTCACTGGTCGTTTGACTGGTGAGAATTTTTCACTGACTGTCGACGACATCGAGTCATCGAAGTTGATCCTCGAGACGACAAGTTTCGGTCGGATTTTGAATGGCTTGGGCATCGACGGCGTTTCATTATTTTTGTAACGCATAAACAGGGACTTGTGGACATTTTCCACTGGAGTCAACTCCAATCGCTCTGCTGCATCGTACCTTTCAGGCTCATTGTTGGCATTGAGATGAATCGTTGGCGATGATTTGAGAACGACTGACTGGAACACCTCAGAATCCAGACGAAATGAGAGATTGTGATTCTTGGGTACTGGATTCTCCAGTGGTTTCATTTTGGACGCAAGAAGAGACACTGTCGACTGAAACGAAGAGACTAACTCGCACATTTGACTCAGATCATCAGTACTTGCTTGGATCTGCAGATTGCAGTCTGTAAAATCTGGAAATGAATTTTTTTGAATGTCCACACGAAGATGTTTCAACAGACATTGAAAAATTGTGAGGAGATTCATGAGATTCAGCTTGTTGTCCTCATACAAATGGTGTACAGCAACCTGAGTGTCAGGATCTAAATTCCCCAATTCCAACAGCTTCTGAGTATCAATCCTGGGAAGATTATTAGCATCTAGATTATTACAATCACTATTCAACACACTATCAACGACAGCAGCAACTTTATCACTCCTTTCAGTCAATTTCTCGAGCAGATCTTGCTGACTCCTCAAGTACCCCAGAGCCTTTCCCAAATTCTCCTTCCACATCTGCACAATCTCCACGTCATTAGGATCAGCCATTCTCTTTTTAATATCAGGATGAACAGTAGCTGCTGCTACAGTCTTCTCCAGCCTCTGCTTCACCTCAAACCACTCCGATTGTCCAGTCTCAATGGATTTAGCCATTTCTGTCGCTTGAGTCTGTGCTCTCGTCTCAGTGGAGACACTCCTCTTGTGAAGCTCCAAAATATCTCTCTTTTTATCCGCAATAATATTGGTCAATAAATTCTTAGTGAGAATATCTTCGTCCCCTGATTTTGGTGCCATATTCAGAGGCTCAGCCCCTTGTTTTTTTAATGTTGATCTCAACACTATTGTTGATAATTTCCACATGAGATTTATAAATCTTGTGCCACTTGCTGTGTGCAGATGTGAGGGAAGTATTTGTGACAGTTCAACATCGGGATTTTCAATGGCTATTGCGTTCATGAAGTCTTTTACCTCATTTCTGTATTTTCCCTCGTCTTTTTTATCCGGAATTGGCCAATCCACTGATTTTTTGAAACGCTCCTCATCATACGTTGATAACAGGTAGTGAGAAATGTAGATAAAACCCACAGTATTCGGTTTATCGAACATTCCCTGGGGAATAAATTCATAAATTAAATAATTAATCATTTCAATCATTTTTTTTTTTACCAATGACAGGTTTGAGGGTTAGCCGAATGGATTTACCTCTTTGAAATACTTCTTGAATTCTTTTCCCGGTGGCACCATTTGCGTTAGCAAGAAGACATTTCGATAAAATGATTTACTCTCCATTTTTGGAGGTCTTTGGATAAATTATAAGTAAAAATTACATGTATGTTGGGGTTGGGGTTATGTATTATTGCAATTCCGGACTCCGGTGTAACCGTAATAAATTTAAATTAAAAAGTTCGCGGGGTCAGGGTTAGGGGACGCTGACGTACGTGAAAGCGGTGAATTTCAAAAATGTAATAATTCCTCTTTATTGATCATAAATAGTTTCTTGTATACATAAAAACTAAAATATCATCGTATTAACGATCATCGTGGACAGTTGATTAAATTGATGATCTAGGCGCAGAGACTGGCCCCCAGGTCCCTCCGGAGTCCCGTGACGAGTGTTTTCTCAGGAAGGGATTTGTGGAGATCATCGAGAGCCTCTACGAAGACAAATCCAGCGACGAATCCACCTAGAGCTGTTATCACTATCGCCAGAAGTGTGGAGAAACGATTTTTATTCAGGTACAGAGAGGGGTCTCTTATCAGGACACTCTGGAGGAGGCAGACCCCCGGGAAGATGAAGATGAAGGCAGCTGAGAGGGTACCCAGGAGATTTATCACTGGGGATATGTCCGGGACGAAAATTGCAAGGACCAGAGAGGCAACGAACCAGAGGAGTGTCACGACAACTCGAATTGTGGGATTTGTCTCAATGTCAGAGGGGAAGAGCCCCAGGAGGGAGTTCCTCCCGCAGAAGAGGACGATTGGGTACGTTGTGAAGTTCTTTACTGCCAGAGCCAGGATAGCAACTGCCAGGGTAATGCTCTCGTCGGTGTATCCCTGGAGAATATCGCTTGGTACTTTTCCTGATCCGAATGTCTGGTATCCGAATACTCCCACTACTGTGTAGACGATGAAGCAGATGGACATGCTTATTATCGATGAAATCGTGAACTTCCGGAGATTTCTGTCCTTCATGCACGCGTACGTGGGAATCGCTGTCATGTGACTCTGAAAAGGTATTTATATTCAATTCCAATATGATTCGCTAATTCAATGAATTAATTTTGTTTTTTGGAGAAATAAAAATGAGAATAAATGAGAATAAATTGCTTTTTGATACCTGATATGCGAAACAAATAATGGGAATTATCTGGAGTGCTTGAGTGGCGTTTTTTGGCCAGATTTGCGTGGGTTTTGGATAATCCTCAGTCGTCATACTCTCGTAGATGACTAGCCAAGTGACATAAATAATTGTGAGACACCCCACGGTGCTGGCGTAGCTGAGGACGTCCAGACGTTTGAAAAAACTCAGGGGTAGAATAAAAATTATACAGCTAACAGTTGTGATGAAATTCCTCGATAAAAACCTTGGAAAATTGGGTAAAAAGTTATTAATAGAGTGATCTGGAATCGTGAAAAATTCTCGCTCCTTTAAACATCGATTTTTTTGAAATACTATTGATTTTAGGAGGAAATGTGAAAAGACCAATTTTGTCTGGAATTTAATTGCCTACAAAAAAGGTCTTCGGGGTTTTCATCTGAGATCGATAGTTTTCGGGATAAATCGATCTATGAGGATCTGTGTGAGAAAGGTTGATTTCGGGGATTACCAGTGATGACAATAATCCATTCCGTAAAAAGTAGCTAATACCCTGTCAAATTGGTCCCCGATGATGATGACGAATGTCAAGCAGCAGCCGAAGGAGTAAATCGTGACGCATATTCCGCAGATCATGAGGGCTTTTGGCCCACACAAACCAGCTAATGTATCCGGCATGGAAGAAGTATTTGTCATGTCACTGCAAGCTGCCAGGATTATCAAAGCTGTCGTTATGAACACCAGGAAGATCCCCTGGATGATAACAGCAGAAAAAATCCCCCCGGATTTGTCGAAAGCCAGTGGAAAATTCAGCAATCCCGCTCCGAGGGTGGCATTCACAATCAAGAAAATAGTTCCCAAAATTCCGGCTCCTAAACAGGTCATTATCTCGGTACCGACTGACTCCAGTGAAAAATGTGATAAAACATTTTTTATAGATAATTCTTTCCGCTATAAAAAATTCCTCTACCATCGTGCCCTAAGTCCACGTATTCTCGAGATATCGATGGATAACTACTTAGGTGTAAATCGAACTATTTAAAACATTGTATCGATCCCCGATAAACGTCTCCGAGATTATCTCGTTACTGATAGAATTAGACAAAAAATTCAAAGGACCTTTTTTGTAGGTGAAGAGATTCTTTATAAAATATCTCTTATCACTTTTTTTTCTAAATCCACCCATTACCGAGATAATCGAGGTATAACTAGCGGAATGGAGAAATCCATCGAGAGAAAAGACGAAAAATTTAATGACTAATTATCATTAATGATTGAATAATTACCTCCATTATTAGGAGACCTCTGAGGTGGATGTTCCCCCGTCAATTCAGTAGTATTATCGAGCAGAGGTTCAACTCCACTCATAAAACTCATATTTCGACGATTAAAAATCTCAATTAATGTCAATGAATTATTAAAAATGGCGAGCAACAAATTGTCCCAATTATCCAAGAGTTTCACATTGAAATGAGTATAACCCCTTCTATCACCAACGTGTTATGATATTTTGTATCGAGGGACCAGAGGTCAACCCAGATATCAAACTCATTGTATGCACTCCTCGAGATGTTGATACCCTTGGGGAAATTATTTTTCCATCGGCTCTAGTTACTTTCATAAATTTTCAAATGAAACCATACATCAGCTGGCCTTCATGAATCCCTAAAAAAATCGGCTTTTGCCTTTTTGCTTTCTTCAGAACGAGAAAGTGAAACGACCTCTTCACTCCTCTACAACAACTACAAACATAAACAATCAGTGACAAACAAAAAGTGATTTTTATGCGTTAAGATTACTCAGTAAAAATACAACACTAAAAAAGACAATTTACAACCCAACGAATTATTTTTGGACAAGTTATTTTAGCCTGAGATTATTTTTGTATAAAACAATGAATGATAAATCAAAAAAACAAATTGATAAACGTTTAAAATAAAAAAACGTATATTAATCACAAAATATTTACAACAAGATGCTGAATCCTTTCATATGATGACAAATTGTTCATAAAGAAGTTCCCTGACCCTGTAATAATCCTCGGATACGGCGCCTTCGAAGACGACTTTGCCAGCATCCTCTTTCCTGACAGCAATGGTATCCCCACAGCACCAGAGAACACCTCCACTGAGTTCAGACGGTATATTATGTTTAGTAAGAATTTGTTTGAAATCCGAGAGCTTGAGTTCATTGATAAAAATGGCCTGATGCCCTGGGACTTGACTGACCCCAAGAGGCTCCAGGGTGAGAATTTTCTCAGCAGTCTGTTCACTCTCATCCACAACAGCATCCCTGCAGACCTGTTCCCTGGCAGTGATAGTGGCATCAACCCAGGCGACGTCATACCCACCCCTGACCTTCTGAAAATTCAATCCACTGACAAGAGCATCAGTCAGCCTGATCTGATAGATATGTGTCTCAGTGGTGGCATCGAGTGTCTCCCCTCGTCCTGGGATAAAAACCCTGGCTCCAACATTCTGTGCATGCTGCGCTAAAATATCGCAATCCTGACTGGATCCCCTCACAAGTACAACCCTTCGTGGCCTGAGCTGTGCTAAAATCTTCTGAAGAGACTCTCCATCGGATCTCCCCTCGAAATCAATGTACGTGATCGATGCATTGACATTTATTGTCTTGGTGACTTGAACGCACTTTGTCGGCACATCAGCAGCTATTTCAGGGACAACAGCTGCCTCTTCAGGCTTGACATCGACATTCATTTTGTCGTCGGTCTCCGGTGCAGCGTCAGCGATTTTGTAGTCCTCAGGATTGACGATCTCCCCGTACTCATCGATCTTGATCTTCTCCTCGTGAAATGGAAACATGGGATATTGTTTTTTATTCTGCTTGAAGAATCCAGGCTTGATCTCCTGCTTCACCAGTAGATCGTGTCTCCCCAGTTCTATCTCATCCTCTGACTCTGAGCTGACGTCTGCAATCTCCATGTGCTCCTGCTTGAGCTGCTCCTGTCTGGCCTTCTGCAATCTCTGGTGCTCCTCGAGCTCAGCACCCTCCAGACGAACCCTCTTCTTGACGAGAAGTGTCAGAGGACGTGATCCCCCGTTCTCCATGAGATCACGTGCCAGAGTACCTGGTGATGTTCTACTCGTGATTATTATACTATTCTGGGGATTGCTGCACCACTGAAGGAACAATTCCCTGGAGAAGCCACACTCCATGTCAGGTGTACTGGCTAAAACGACCTTGGGACTGGGTACCTGATTGAGTTCAGCCATGCTGTGACACAGTTGGAGGTGCTTGAAGTGGAAGGGATTGTTCCTGGCGCCCTCAAAGCTCTTCATCAATTTATCACTCATCCACTCAATTTGAGACTTGGCGAATTCCACTACATTGTAACTGACGTTATTCAAAAGGGCCAGGGAATACGCCAAGAGTCCTGACTCCTTGTTCCTCCAGAGCTGATCCAACATGTGAGCTAGCTCCAGGACACGTCCAGCTGTGTCAACACCAACGAGAACATTACCACCAGCTCTCAAGGTTTGCAGAATATTTGTCATAAGTTTTTCGTCTCTCGTTCGTCTTCTCGCTTGTTGGTAGGATGCATTGAAGGCGTCGGTGATGAGGAGGGAAGGCCTCTGGAGTCTCTCCAGCTCACAGCCATTCAGGTGTCGCTCCTTCTTGTGATTGAAATCCACCGCGTAGATGATGTCCTCTTCCCCGTCCTTCACGATCTTCCAGATTGTTCCACCTATCATGTGACCTGCGGGTAGAGGTGTCAGGGTGACACCGTGACCCTTGCCCTTCATTGAGACACTCTGGTTGTATTTCAGCTGGACGATTTTGTCGAATGCTGCGTCCACGTCGTCCAGGGTGAACAGATCAAACTCTTCCATGTTGTTTCGGGATTGAAACATGTCGTACATGAACATCTGGCCCATTTTGTAAACGGGAATAGTCGCGTAGATGGGACAGTTCAGGCCGCATTTACCCACGAGGTAGGGTAGGGCCCCCAGGTGAAGAGGATCTGGGTAGGAGAGGAGAACTGCATCGATCTGGTGGACGTGGCGTTTTAATTCTCTGATGAAGTCCTGGGAGAATGACTCGTCCCAACCGCAGTCCAGGAGAATTCGTAATTCGTCGACCTGGAGGATATAACACGGTGGAGATTCATCCATTGCTCCTGAGATCGCGTGAAGTTTTATTATGGAGGTCATCATCTTGGTTATCGAGAGGATCTGAAAGATTTTGAAAGATAATTTCAAATAGAACGGACAGTTCGATTAAGTCATACCTGTGTGATGCCTAAATTATGTTAACCTCGAATTTAGTGACGACCGGTGAATTTTTCAAGTGCTATCCCGGCATTTCCAGAGGATTCAGAGTAGAATTTCGAATCTTCACTGTCTCTCGAGGATTTTTAATCGCTGGTGTGATTGTTATGAAATTGTTAACAATTGTGTCGGGTTTTATGTTTTGGAGCACTGGATGTGAAGCTTTTTCAAATACCGCGAATGAGAAATGATGGCGTCGATTTTTCCCTTCCGCTCTCGATTAGATTTCGGTTAAAAAAATCCAACGGCCCTTATTTCCCATAAATTATCAACCTGAAATTCCCCAATTCAAAGACTTCATTGAAATCACCTCATTTTGCACTTAACAACAACTCCAGATTGTGAGAGGAATCATTATTTATGAATATTAAAACTTCGACGCTCCAAGACGTAAGAATCTAACCCAAAAACTATTTTGTTTATAATTCTTAAATAATCAGCTGATAATTATATATTTTTCAATTTTCACCCACGAAGATCTAAGAAAAAAATAAAAATCTGTGACATGAAAAATAAATTCAATTCCACTGCAATTACTTAAAATTTTATTATTTTTGTAATAGAAAATGTAATAAAATTCTTGATTGAAAAATAATTATCTGAAGAATCACCAATTATTATCATCTCTCATAAAATGAGAGAAATAAATAATTACCGAATTAAATGACAGGATTTTGATTGATAATTGTATAATTTCTGTCAGTGAAATCATGGGAAGCCAGAGAAAAGCAGCTGAATCCCAGGTACCAGCAGAGGAGAGTGATCTCCTCTCGATAAAGCCCTTGGGTGCTGGTCAGGAGGTGGGTAGATCTTGCATAATGCTGGAATTCAAGGGCAAGAAGATAATGCTGGATTGTGGAATTCATCCAGGTCTCTCAGGGATGGATGCCCTCCCGTTCGTGGACCTCGTGGAAGCTGACGAGATAGATCTCCTCCTGATCTCTCACTTTCACCTGGATCACTGTGGAGCACTCCCCTGGTTCCTCCAGAAGACGAGCTTCAAGGGCAGATGTTTCATGACCCACGCGACAAAAGCCATCTATCGCTGGCTCCTCTCTGATTACATCAAGGTCTCCAACATCGCGACCGAACAGATGCTGTACACTGAGTCTGACCTTGAGGCAAGCATGGACAAAATCGAGACGATAAATTTTCACGAGGAGAAAGATGTCTTCGGGATTAAATTCTGGGCGTACAACGCTGGTCATGTCCTGGGGGCTGCCATGTTCATGATAGAAATTGCAGGTGAATAAATAAATGGCTTATTGAATTAATTATAATGATTAATTAATCTGTTATAACTCGTTGCAATTACTCTTGCATTTCAAAATAATCCCCAGGTGTGAAGATCCTGTACACCGGAGACTTCAGTCGCCAGGAGGATCGTCACCTGATGGCAGCGGAAATTCCAAATGTCCACCCAGATGTGCTGATAACCGAGTCAACATACGGCACTCACATCCACGAAAAACGAGAGGACCGAGAGCGACGTTTCACTAATCTCGTCCACGAGATAGTGAATCGTGGTGGTAGATGCCTGATTCCAGTATTCGCCCTGGGTCGTGCCCAGGAGTTGCTATTAATTCTGGATGAGTACTGGAGTCAACATCCAGAGCTACACGAAATTCCCATCTACTACGCCTCATCATTGGCTAAAAAATGTATGGCAGTTTATCAGACGTACGTAAACGCGATGAATGATAAAATTCGTCGTCAGATTGCGATAAATAATCCCTTCGTGTTCAAACACATATCAAACCTGAAGGGGATCGATCACTTCGATGACATTGGTCCGTGCGTGGTGATGGCATCACCAGGAATGATGCAGAGTGGTTTATCGAGGGAATTATTTGAATCCTGGTGTACGGACGCTAAAAATGGAGTGATAATCGCTGGTTACTGTGTCGAGGGTACCCTAGCCAAGACTATTCTCTCAGAGCCAGAGGAAATAGCCACAATGAGTGGACAGAAGCTCCCACTCAAGATGTCAGTGGATTACATATCATTCTCAGCTCACACTGATTACCAGCAGACATCCGAGTTCATCAGGATCCTGAAACCACCGCACGTGGTGCTCGTCCATGGGGAGCAGAATGAAATGGGAAGACTGAAGGCTGCCCTTCAGAGAGAGTACCAGGACGATCCCAGCACCACCATGGAAATTCACAATCCAAGGAATACTGTTGCTGTTGAATTGTACTTCAGGGGTGAGAAGACAGCCAAAGTCATGGGTACCCTCGCCATGGAGACATCGAGACCCGGTGAAATACTGTCTGGTGTTCTCGTCAAGAGGAACTTCAATCACCACAAATTGGCACCATCTGATCTGTCAAAGTACACGGATATGACAACTAGTCACGTCATTCAGAGACAGAGCATGCACTTCGGTGGATCTTTAGTGGTCCTAAAGCATCTCCTGGGACAAATTGCTGGTAATCTCGAGTACGTCGACGACAGAAAAATACGAGTGTTTAAAAATGTCGATGTCACTGTCGATGGGAAAATAGTAACGATGGAGTGGCTCGCTACACCTGTCAATGACATGTATGCAGATTCAGTTTTTACTGCTCTCCTTCAGGCTGAACTCATGGACAATCCACCCAAGACACTACCTCCACCAACTAAAATGGATAGAATGCATTTTAAGATGTGTCTCATTGAGATGCTCCAGGAGATGTTCGGGGAGGACTCGGTGCCCAAGATATTCAAGGGAGAGCAGCTCTATGTCACTGTTGATGGAAAAAAAGCACATATTGATCTGATGGGGCTCAATGTCACCTGCGGAGAGGACGAGGTATTTCAGCAGATTGTTCAGACTGCTGTCTCAAAACTTCATCAGTCACTGGCGTCTCCCTCCGAGACCATCTGAGAATAATGACTGTGAATCGTCATCCTAATTTCATGCAACATTATCTTTATACTTTCCAATAAAAATAACGAAATGATATTTAACATTTCTGTCATGATTTCATTATTTTTTTAAATTATGTGGATTATGTATATAGTATATAGACAACGCACTCATTATAAAATTATAATTTCATTAGATTGAATTAAATTTCATTAGATTTCATTAGAGTGAATAATTTTTTTCACTTGAAATTCCGCTTGTTCTGCAGTCGGCTAAATTTCAGTTAAACAAATAAAAAACAAATGGATTGACACCGCAGAAAATGAAATTCACCCCGTCGACTTGATGGACACCCCAACATTGTGTGTTGCGCCCTCCCTCTCTTGGGGTGCAGTACTACGATGCCGCTGGGGTCACTCAAATCCCCAGAACTGAACCTCTACTCCAATCAATCCTCTTTGGTGAAGACAATTAGTAGAACATCCACTTCAGATATGAACAGGACGTCTTGCATATTTCTTCGCACAAGGCGATTTTGTTGTGAGTTTATTCTGCGTGAGAACTATAAAACTAATCAGTTAGTTGAAAAATTGATATTACTTAGTGTATTTATGTTTTATCAAACCTGATAAAATCAGTTAAGTGATTTACTCGGATTAATTCTTGCCATTTTTTCAGGGGCAAACGCAATTTTAGAACGTACAGGAATAAAATGGCATTGACAGAGCAAATTCCGTTTTCCAAGGACTTTCTGTTTCGTCAAGTGAGTTTTTCAAATTGTTAAATAATTTTTTGGTGAGTATTTCATGGTGAATTTTTTATCGAAAATTTTTCGTGCTAATTTACAGTTTTTCGATCCAATATCTAGTACTTACACGTACCTTTTAGCGGATGTGACCGATAAACAAGCGGTTCTGATAGATCCCGTTATCGAATGGGCAGAAAGAGATGCAACAATAATAAAAGAATTGGATTTAAAATTAATTTACGCACGTGAGTAATTGCAAAAACCAAAATTCATCAGCGGATGTAAATCGAGGTTTTACCAATTTTTTTTTCTTGTTGAAATTTTAGTAAATACTCATATGCATGCGGACCACGTAACGGGTACTGGAAAATTGAAAGAGTTACTACCGAATTGTCAATCTGCTATTTCAAGAACTAGTGGGGCGAAGGCGGATTTATTACTCGATCCTGAAGATAGAGTGAAATTTGGAAGACATGAATTGCTAGTCTGTCCTACACCAGGTCACACTGAAGGTCAGCAACAGAATTTAAAAAAAAATTATCGATTGAATCTAATGAACAAATACAAGACACGGAATTTTCCCACGTCTTTTTATTTATCGGTTACGATTGCTCTGCGAGCTAAATAAATATACTCACAGATAACAATCCGTTTTAATTAGGAGATAAGTTTTCGTAGAATTCTCAGTTTTCTCCGATTCTACTACAGATAGAGATATTTTTGTAGTTATCTTTTTTATAGTACTCCCTCTCCCCTGCAAATTAGGTCATGATAAAAATTGCCCTATCTCTCTTAGATTCCGAGATATTCCGGGAAAACTCGACTAGTCATCGACTCGTTACGATTTGTCGATTCGTAATCAAATTATAAAAATCGCTTAATAATTATTAATGTTTCAGGCTGCGTGACATACGTCTGTAGAGAACAAGGAATAGCTTTCACTGGTGATACTCTTTTGATTCGTGGGTGTGGAAGGACAGACTTTCAGGTTAATAATCCCCAACCGTAAAAACTCGTAATGGTAAAATTATTTAAAATTTTTTGCCTGACAGGGAGGCTCGCCACAAATTCTGTACAATTCCGTGCACTCTGTAATATTTACACTTCCTGAAAACTTCCGCCTCTATCCGGCTCACGATTATTCCGGAAGAACAGTTACTTCCGTCGCTGAAGAACGCAATTACAATCCAAGATTAACGAAATCTCTCGATGAATTTGTCAGCATAATGGAAAATCTCAATCTCCCCTATCCTAAAATGATCGGTAAGTGGATATTTTCGTAATAATTCGTAATCTTCCCGTGATGAAAGGCGCGTTGTCCGAATTATTTAGAATTTTCTTGCAGATAAAGCTGTACCAGCGAATCGAGTTTGCGGAATTTACGAGCTCATGGATAAAGAAGAGAAGGATTGATAATTATCCAATTATCTAGTCCACCAATTGTGCATTACAATTGTATAAATATAATCTATAGAACAATTTATTTTCCAACGAATAATTTGCTGGACTTTTGACCGGTAGATTTTTATCAATCGATTGTGCAATCTATCTAAAAATAATTGACCAATTTATTCTAAATACCTGAAGATTAATTGGTATAAGTTTTTTTACAAAAAGCTTTTATTCATTTTAATAATTAGAGGTGACGGTATTAATTGATAAATTAATGGATGTATTAATTAAGGAAGAATGAGCCCTTGTGTCAAAAATATATACAATTCCAAGGACTCCAACTATTTCTTTTGCTCCTGAGCCAATTTCTGCGTGACCATCTCCCTGAATTGTCCCAGAATGAGATTTTCCCTCTTCTGTCTCTCCTCTTTACTGAACATGGCTAAAGCCCTCTTCTCGTCAGCCGAGTAGATTTGATTCTCCTTACGTATTCGTACAGCTTCCATTCGCCGATGCCTACTACCACTCATAACATACCCCACGGACTCATACGACGCAATTTCATCTGACGTAAGACCAATTTCTCCTCTCCTGGGAATTCTTTTGCCCTCAGCGACAAAAGCAGCCATCGCTGCACCCTCACCAGGAAGCAGAGCCTTTCCAAAGTCCTTCGCTGAGAGTGTCACGTGCTGCTTCTGGACAGGACCCACCATTCCATCATCTCCAGAGTCATCTGACGATGATGTCCTCCTCTTCTTTGGCTTATCCATCTCCTTGCCCTTCTCCACCCACTCCGCTGTCTCTGATTCATCAGATGAGCCTGAGCTCGAATCACTCTCCGAGTATTTCCTCTTTCTCTTCTTCCGTTTCTTCTTTTCTTTTCTCAATTTCTTCTCTTTCTTCAATTTTTTACTCTTCTGAAACACGAATAAATTATGGAGTTTATTGACCCCGGATATCTCGGAAGTTAAGGGAGATAGAGACATTTTCATGAGAATCTGTTTTGTAGAGCGATGAATGAACTATAAAAAATATTTTAATGAAAATTTCGTTATCTCTTTCTGTTTAGCAGGTAGAATGGAAAATAGAGAAATTGTCAGATTTCGTTGAATTGAGAAATTTCTGGAAGAATTTTTACAACGTTTTGTTAAAAGGAAATAAAAAAATGTAACTCACCTTCTTTTTATCCTTTTTCCTCCTCTTCTTGCTCTCTGGTGATAATTCAATTTTAGTTTTGCTTTTGAGGGTCTCGTCTTCATCGTCAGTTCTTAAAAAAAACAGCCCGAGAGATATTCAACATTAAAATGCGCAATAACAAATGGAAAATTAATTAGAGATTAATATTTCCATGACGAAACGGAATTTTGAGGTTGGAATACCCACCACAATGTTTATTGAACGTTTTTAAATGGTTTGAAGGCGTTATTTATTTATTTAACAATTTCACTTACTCTTCTAGTCTCGTAGGTGATTTACCCCATATTCTGTCAACTCCTAGAAGACCAATTTGCTCTCGATCTTTCCTGCGTCCGTCCATTTAATTATTTCAAAGTCTTTCGATCCAGGACCGATCGATATTATATCGTTTACAATAAATCCCCGATTTTTCTCAAATCGATTTTAAATTTCCTGTTGATCAAAAATCTTAATTGACAAAATAAAACAATTCCTCCAATTCTCATCAGTGAAATTTCCAAATAAAAAAATTTCACAAGCAAAATATTTATTTTCCTGGAGAACAATTAACCCCCGCCATCTGGTGTCACCCCAGGAGTCTTCAGGTACCAGAAATCACCGTCTCCTGAGAGGCACACAATGTCCTCTGGATTTTGCATTAGCACTGCCCATAACCGAAGAGGAAAAGCCGATACACCGAAACGATCAGACCAGGACCTCAGCCCAGATCATGAAACTCTGATAAAATTCTGGTGATCAGCAATTGTTGGATAATCAGTGAATCGTCATTTCCAGGATGTCAGTGAATTTGTCGAAAAATCATGAGGCACTTGTGGCAGCCTGGACGAGCGTTGTGGACGACAAATCTCCGGTCGACTGGTAAACTCCCATTTATTTTTAAAACTTATGATTCTGCACCTCGAAATGATGATTCAGACCCTGAAGAAATCATTCCTGAGGGTTTTTCTGATAGTCCATTATATTTATCAGCCCTCCCCCAGGGAAAATTATTTCACTCCCCCCCTGGGGTGGGTTTACACACCCCAAACAAAAAAAAGATGAAAAATGTTGAACAATTATAAAAATTACTGCATTACTATTATAAATAAAGATGAGATGATAATAATAATAATAAATTGTATTATTAAATTACTGTAATTTGTTCAGTAGATTTTTTATTGAATAGATTGTTTTTTTAAATTTGAAGGGGCATGAAGTGATTTTTTGATAATTTATTGGCAGGGCTGTTTTTGGATACGAGGGCCAGACGAATAATCTGAAAGTTGTGGGAACTGGTAACGGTGGACTCCAAGAGATGATCGAGGAGTTGAACAGCGGTCACATAATGTACGCCTTCTGTCGAGTAGTTGACACAAAAACAAGTCTACCAAAATGTGTCCTGGTGAATTGGCAGGGTGAGCTAGCCCCAATAGTAAGAAAAGGCACATGTGCTAATCACATTCGTGACATCGAGCGTCTGCTGAAAGGTGCTCACATCCAGGTGAACGCCCGCTCCGAAGAGGACGTCGAGGTTGATCTAATAATGGAAAAATTGGCACGTGCCACAGGTTCTGCTTATAAATTTCAAGCACCTCGTTCCAAGGACGTGGGTAATACCCCAGTGGGTACAGCATACAAACGAGTGATACCAGCGCAGGAGATAAATGCAACGGAGAGGGATGAGTTTTGGCAGAAGGAGGAGCTGGAGGAGAAAGCGAGAATTGAGCAGGAGAAAATTAGAAAGGAGAAGGAGAGACAGAGAGTTGAGCTTGAAACGAGATCTCGTGAGGAGAAGCAGAGTAAAATTCGTGAGGACGTGGCTGTGCCTGTTGTGAGAAAAATGGAGCAGTCTCAGGAAAGGGTACAGGAGTTGAAGAACTTGAGGAATCAGGCGCCGAGAAATGAGAGCGACGAAGAAGAGCCCAAGAGTAGGAGTGATGAGTTGAGAAGACAGAGGAGCAATGAGGCACAGCAATTAATTGCCCAGAGGACGATCAACGCGAGAGCTGTTTTCGAGCAGAATTCTGCTGCTGGACAGATGCGAGGGGCTTTTGGGCCTAGTAAGAGTCCCAGAGGGGTCCAGGGAGGGAGAATTGAGGGGAAAATAGAGGAGAGAAAAATCGAGGGGAAAGATCAAGGGAGGAAAGTTATTAATGAAGCCTCTGGAGAGGTTTTGGGGACTCAACCTCAGGTAGAGGTTCTCCAGAAGGTTCAGGTGGCTCAAGAGGTGCACAAGGTGGCTCAGACGGCTCAAGAGGTCCTTCAGGAGGTTCAGGGGGCTCAGGAGGTCGAGAGAAAGGTACTGGAGGATCGCAGACAAGATATCGAGACTGAGAGGAAGGCCCTGGAGGAGAAAAAACTCCAGGACACCCAGAAGAAGACTCTCGAGCCTGAAGTGGCCATGGAGGAGCACAAGAGGGCTGAGGTCGAGTGGAAGGGTGTCGAGGTTGAAAAAAAGGTCGTGGAGGACCACAAGAGGACTCAGGAGGTTGAGAAAAAGGAGGAAATCAATACTGTTGAGAATGAGTTGTATAATCAACTCAGTGGAGAGAATTATCTCTATTTTGATCCCAATAATGAGGGGATGAAGGCTAGAGCGCTTTACGATTATCAAGCTGCTGATGACACTGAAATTACTTTTGATCCTGGGGATGTTATCACTCATATCGATGCCATTGATGAGGGCTGGTGGCAGGGACTCGCTCCTGATGGTACTTATGGACTATTTCCTGCTAATTATGTTGAGGTTATTGAATATGCTACATGAGGGGTTCTGTCCGTTGTTGAGGATTCGTGTTCCAGTTATTGAGGGGTATTAGAGGTTTATTCGGGGTGAGGGGGAGGGGGAGGGGGCTAGAGTTAATGAAGGGTTATCTGGAAAATTGGGGGAGTAGAGCTATTTGGAAATTTGGGAGAGATAGCAAAATTTTTGTTGGACCTTTTTTCTAGCTCTTGAAATTCTCTATAAAAAAGTTTTTCACGAAAATTATGGTATCCGGAGTAGAGTCTCCAGATTGTCCAGTTTTAAATTCCCCGACTTGAACCAATTTATCTCTTCGCTACTGAAGTCATTCAGGGGAAAATAAGACGCCCAGATATTTCGTATGACATTTCAATCATCATGGCTTCAGTCGCGACAGGAAGACCGTTATCTTCCTGAGGAAATAATGTATAATATTGCGGAATTTTTACTTCCTGTTGACGTCGTAGCGTGTGAATCCTTCGAGTGCAGAACTTTTTATTTAGAATATCATTAGAAGTAATTAAATATCAGTATAAAAATGATTCTGAACGACAGGAATCAAAAAGACCGTCTCAACAGAAAAACCGAAAAATTGTGTGTAAGCATTTGTCGTTGCAATTTCATGATTTCATGACTTCATAATTTTATTCTTATAATTTCATGGGAAAAAAAAGTCTGGGCTCGAAGGGTCACGATAGTATCGAGATATTTAATTCATCAGACGCTCAAATAATTGAGCTGTTAATTCATAATCCATTTTTTTGAGACTTTAAGTGAAACAAATAGTTTCTCTGTACTCATCAATCAATTGTGACTATTATTGGATAAATAATCAACCGATCTCACATTCACTCGAAACAAGAGAGTAAAGTCGAACAAATTTATAGATGTTTTTTTATTGAACGTGAATAGAAAAGAGGGACTCAGGAATCTGAACAAATTTAATAATGTTCTTTTTCTGTATTTTGTTGGATGACTTATGAATATATTTACAATGATTTTAATCCATGAATTGAATGCCACTCCTGGAATTTATCAGGAGCGGTTGCGTGCATTTGTACATCTACTCAACTGTTACTCAATCGCAATGTACGGAATTAATTTTAGTTTATTCGGAATAAATCTGTTTTTCATATACTTAATTGTCGTCGATTACCGTCATTGACATTTTTCGAAATATCTTGTTACCCAGAGAAGACAGAAAAATTTCTGTTGAACATTTTTTCCAGCTCTGGAAATTCTCCACAAAAAAGTTCCCCACAACATTTTTCCATCTCCCGCAGGTTCCGAGATATTTTCCCAAGAAAACATCTGTATTTTATCCAACAGATTGAGCGGTCCAATTATTTAAAAAAGTATCGATAGTAGCCATGAGGATGATCTCCACCCAATCAATTCACCTCCTGTACCCAGGATTCTGATTGCTCGCAGTAGAGCCACTCCCAGCATGACTGAGAAAGGCGAGATGTCCTTTAGGACATTTATTGGCATAATGACCCTTCGTCCCACATTTGTAACAGGTCACCTCCTCGAGAGGCTTCTGGGGTCCCCTGGGTGGTGGTCCATTGTGCATATTCATGTGATAATTGTGCTGATGAGGCCCACCACCCTCCAGCTCCTGCCTCATCTGTGCCTCACGTACCTCAGCCGGCATTTTATTACAATAAACAGCTTTGTGTCCACTCTCCCCACAAAAATGACACGTAATCATCACCTTCTTTCCCTCCTTCGGCTGCATGTCTTGAATTGCTGGCAGTTCAAATCGGGGACTGAAATAAAAAAAAAAAAGATGTCAAGAATCCAAAGGCTAATTGATCCCTCTGACGCAATTGGAATTGAATTAGTCGTGATGTTCTTCCTTGGCAAATAAAGTGGTGGTAGTGAAAAAAAATATCGTAAAATGGCGAAACAATAGGCAGTGGGGCACAGGTGAAGGATACTCACTGCATGAATTTACACGTTGTACCATCTGGACAGAATCCAGCTAGATATGCCATGCAGAGCACTCGTCGTACGTGTCTGTGACGACAGATTGGACCGTGTCTGCAGAATCCACGATCATACCACGGACAATCCCGGACTTTTGTCTCAGGATCTATATGCAGAAATGGGCACTCCTTGTTGTGGCAGGCGTCTGCAAGTCGATTAGATATTGAAAATCACTTCCAGATCCTGAGATATCCGTGAAAAACTAAATTGGATGAAAGACACTCACTGAATCTCGAGTAGAAATAACACTCTGGCATTTTTGACATGTCGTATTCGTGCAGAAATTCACACTGATCCCCCTTTTTGCAAAGTCCTCGGAGCCAATGCTTGCAGACGATTGTCCTGTCACCCCTGACGTGCCTGAAAGGGCAGGATCCTCCCTTGTTGCAGGCACCACGAGGATAGAATTGACAGACAGCAGCAGTGGATTCTACAATTGATTTAAAATCCTCAACACTTATCTCTGTTATAATTCAGTGATAAGAAAATAAAATTGATTCGCGAGTGAAAAAAAAATTACTGGAGCATTGAAAACGAGAGAATTCTGTAATGAACATCTCAATATTATAAACAATATGTGAAAATCGAAGTGATTTCTTTCTTTTTGACATTTTCTATTGAATATTTGATTAAAATAGAATAGAATTTTCTGGAGAATTGGATTTTTGAATTTTGCTTGGTAATTAACATCGAGGATAATTCTCGTTTTTGTTTAATAATCTCATAAACATAAACATAACCCCAAAAACCTACTGTCCATGCCGGTGAAGGGCAGAGGAAGTGCTCCATATTGTTCATCAAGGGCGATCTCAATATCGAATTTGAGATGATCCACATTTGCCACGAGGTACTCCATCGCCTCAGCAATTTTTCAAAATAAAAAAATCCGAATAACCAAACTAAACAGCTAAAATAACAACACCTAGAGAACAACCATCAGTCCCTCACTCGTCAATTTTCCTGATTGGCTCGACTTTATTAATAAACACTCGCCATTTTGTTATTGAGTTTAGGGACTTCTAGTTTTTTAAGACTGGTTACATTCAATCTAGTGGAAAACACCTGATGTTCAGGTTTCAGGTTCAAATAGTAGTTCAGGTGAAATTCAGAGCATTTCTCGTTTACCACAATATTGTTGTAATTATATATAATTAAAATAATCGTATATATTATCGGGGTTGTAATGGATTTTATGTCAGTGCAAATTTATTTATACAAGACTTATACGGATAAATAAATAATAATAATTTTATAGTTATAATTAATAAATTGAGGAAAAAGGGAAAAATGTGATAATAAATGATAATCATGATTGAAAATTTAATGTTTTATTTAGGCATTTCTTAAATATAAATATATTGTTATTATAAATATATAAATATATTGTTCGCAGGGTTCCAAGTCCAGAAATGAAATTGAATGCATTAAGCTCTCGTCGGACGTCATCGTCAGCTGTCGCCACCTTTCGGGCGTTATCGGCAACCCTCGGGCGAGACACACGCGCCTATAAGAGAGGCAGGTGTCGCCGTTCTTCCGGTAGTCACCCGCGGGTTCTCGCCGAGGGTTAATTAATCTGATTCTCCCAAATTTCTAATTGCCAAAAAAAAAATAATCGACAGCCACAAAAATCTATTGCAATTCACCGCGACAATTTATCATTCGCGTTCTAGTTCCGTTGACCAGGATCGACTGAAAATTTTTTTTTTTTTGTCGAGTTCTGGTGAAACTCCGGGTGAAAAAGCCGGTGAAAAAACGCGGACTGTGGGCTCGGTCTGTATTATTTTCGCTTTCGCGAGTAATTTATCGCGTGTGTCGGTGTGATTTGCCGGGATTTTCCACGGATTTTTGGTGATCGTTGGGATTTTCACGGGATTGGGAGGAACTCGGCTAGTTCTCGGGGTGGAGTTCAGTCAGGAACGTCAGGAATTTTGGAATTTTTTGGACAGGTATGTGGGCCATGAGGCGAGACTTTTGGATTTTTTTTGAGGGGTACACCTTATGGGGGTGGGGATTTTCGGGGATTTTGGGGGATTTTGGTGGATTGTGGGTGATGGTGTGTGTGGAAAGCGCGCGCATGGTGTGACTTCGGGCGTCTCGCCGATCTAGGACGAAGATCATCGGGTTCTGGGAGGTGGGGTTTTCCCGGAAGGGGGGTTCCTGCCCCCTGGAACCGATTTTTCCTAAAATCTATGTAATTCTTGTTTTTTTTTTCTCGTCTTTTTTTATTCGTCGATCATTCACGACCACGTGTTATCACATTTTTTTGGGTTTCGAGGGAAAAGGTCTGATCGACATTTATTATTATTATTATTATTTTATTATTGGTGGTTTAATTATTATCACTGGAATTATTATACAAATTTCCAAAGGTAAAGAATTAAAATTGTGTACTTAGTCCGCAGTTTTTCAGTGTTTACTCGAAAATTAAGCCGAATACCGGAAATGTCATGAGAACTTTTTTTGTTGCTCGTGAATAGCTCTACAGAAGATGTCCTGACGAATATTTTGGTTTCTTGCGTTGATTTCGAGATTTTCATCGAAAACGGGGCAACCTGTCGAAACCGACCTAAACCGGTTTCCCATTGGATTAAAAAACCGTGAATTAGAGACGAGTCCCTGAGAATTAATATTTTTCTCTCTCAATTTGCTCTAATGCCTCGTAAAACAACATCCGTAGTCTGGAAAATAATCACACGTGGGAGTGACCGGGACTCCTGGAGAAATCGAGATTTTTTTTCTGTTTATTGTTGAGTCTTGATTGCAGACTAAATTGGAACAGCTGATCGAAAGGCATTCCTTCGCGTTTCCAAAGAGTCTGACGTGGATTAGTAATTGCATTGGGTCTGGCAAACAATTTTTTTATTTTGTTTATCATTTTTATTTCATTCTATTAATGAACGCGCATTAAAACGTTACGAGCGAAGGAATAGAATCTATCACTTTGAGGAGATAACATTCTTTCATCTCTCAGGAGAGATCTTCCGATGTGTGGAGCAGTCGTAATCCTCGATTTTTTTTATTTTTTCAATGCTCGAGATGTTGTAAATAATGGAGATAATTTAAACCTTATTGCAAATGCGAGTAAACTATTTTTTAAATTCAATTTGCCACAATTAAATCAGCACTAACCAGAATTCACGCGTTTGTAACTGTAGGAGTTAACAACTGTCTCGTTTTTTTTTTTCATAAATAAGAGGGAAAATGTTAATGAATCATTAATGAATTTATTCATTTTCACTAGTACAGAGTAAGCACTCGTAATTTTTGTTTCATCGAAGCCGAATATCTGGCAAACTAAGAGAGATAGATAAATTCTTGTTGGGACTTTTTTGTAGTTTTTTTTGTCATCTGCAAAAATGGTCATATAAAAAAACGGCGTATCTCCGTCAGATTCGGAGATATACGTGGAAAACGGTGGGTGGGGTAGACGTAATTTTTTAACTGCTGCACTTTTGTTTAATTACTTTTTTGGAGTGATTTTACGAGTGGCATTGGGATTTCTTTTGCATGTTGGCCGAATTTATTTAAATAGTAATTCCTAATGAAAAAATCTTTCCGAAAATCAACATTTTGAAATTGCCATGCAGTCATGTGGATTGCGTTTTGAATTGCATTTAAATGTTGAATCGTAATTATTCGGGGTCAATACAGACTGTCTGTTTTTGAAGTGGAATGGATTTTATGCGAAAACTTGAGGTCTGTATCGATTAATTTGCATGGACGAGGGAGACAGGTGGATTTTAAATGTCTCTTTTGTGGGATTGTTCACACGGAATTTACACTTGCGCCAATAATTTAATATCACTTAATTAATTAAATGGATATTTATAATTTTTCCAACAAATATTGAATTAAAATTCAATAATAAAGCAGCAAATCCCATCACTACATTTTTTTCTTTTATCAAATGCAGTTTAAGCCAAAAACCATTGATTTTAAAGGGAAATATGAGAAGACCTTTTTTGTAGATAATTTAATTGCCTCGAGAACAAGTCTTCTGATGTTTTCTCGCTGGATTCATTATTTGCGAGATAAATCGGCGAGGAATTTTGGATTTCATTACGGAATTCATTAAATTGGATGGGGAATTTATTGATATTGTTTTGAGTGAGCTAGTGGCTCAAACATTTTCATTTTAAAAATAAAATGCTTGATACGCAGGTGCAAATTAAATAGCGTCGAAGACTCATCTTTTATGTATTTCCATGTATAAAATAAGGAAGCGATCATGTTAATATCTGAATACAAATAGAAATTTAGTTCCAAGTGAAAATTTGATCACTCGAGACGTTGATAAAAAAAAACAGCAATGAACTGATAATTGTTTTTATTCCCAAGATCAGTTTTTAGCGAATATCTCAGAATAGAAGGAACACAGCGAATTTTTAGCGGTAATATTTTTTATGGAAAATTATGAGAGCTACAAAAAAGTTTTTCCTTAAAATATCGCTATCTTCCTTGGCTTTTGAGATATCGGCTGAAAACTCATGTCGAAAAAATGCTTTCGACGTAGGGTACCTCAGAATTCGTTGGGAATTCCCTAAAAAAATTGGATTGTTGGGGAATTTTTGTTGTGATGTCGGATTTGATTTTTTTTTCAGAGCTAACTACCCGCCAAAAAATGCAGAAGATGAACTACATGGAGGTGACTCTCCCGAACTATTCATATGTCTTCAATTTTGAGGAGAAGTTTATTCATCAAGACACACGAGACTGGATGACGAATAACTGGACAAATGTGTTCTATTATGCTGGGATATATATGATTCTCATATTTGGCGGTCAATACTGGATGACCAGCAGGCCCAGATTTGAATTGAGGGGTTTACTTACACTTTGGAACAGTGGACTCGCCATTTTCTCGATAATAGGATTCGCTAGAACAGCACCTGAGCTCATTCATATATTAAGAAATCATGGATTGTATCACAGTGTGTGCATACCGAGGTGAGAATTGATTTTTTTTTTATCCAGAGATTTATCTAAACTCTCAGAAATATACGTCACTTATTTATTTACATAAATTACATGAGGTGAGAGAGTTTTTCATTCTGTGTTGGAAGATATCTCGGTATTTGTTGGAGGCAGTGGATTCTCGTGAGGGAATTTTTTTCTGCAGAATTTTGTTAGCTATAAAAAGTGTTTCTTGACGATTTTTATAACTTCTCTGGGTAACGAGATATTTTACATCCACGTCGATTCACCTTTGATCGAGTCCATAAATTATACAAATCAAGATCAAAAGTTGCTCTTGTAATCTCTGAGATTATTATCAGTAATTTTTTTGATCGTCTGATTGACTGGTGGATTTATTTTTGTTACCGTAGAGATTCCAGACGAGAACACGCGCAAGAATGTAATTTTTTTCTTTCGTATAAAATATTTATCTCACAGTATTGGGCAATAATATATTACATATTACTTATTACACCACTCCATGGCCTGTCGTGCAGAAAAACACGGCTGAATCACGCTATGCAAAATTCTAGGGTATAACATTAAATAAGTTTGAGCACGAATCGATTTTGAAGATCAAAATCTAAAATAAATTCTCTTGAAATCTGCGCAGTTGATAAATTATTTTCTGCAAACCAAAAAATATATTGTAATTCTATCGTTAATTTTCTTGTCCAATGATTCCGACTGATACTGAAAATAAATCATAAAACTTGATGAGAATGAAATAATTCCATCTGCTGATTGCCTATGTTTCAGCTTCATCGAGATGGACAGGGTTTCTGGGTTCTGGACCTGGATGTTCGTTCTGTCGAAGCTACCAGAGCTGGGTGACACTCTGTTCATCGTGCTGAGGAAGCAACCCCTGATATTCCTCCACTGGTACCACCACATAACAGTTTTACTGTACTCATGGTTCTCTTACACAGAGTACACGTCGTCAGCTCGATGGTTCGTCGTGATGAATTACTTCGTACACTCGATAATGTATTCTTACTACGCCCTCAAGGCCATGAGATACTCACCACCAAAGTCAATAGCAATGGTGATAACGACACTCCAACTAACGCAGATGATGGTGGGATGTGCTATCAATGTCTGGGCCTATCAGTATCTCACTAGTGGACAGAGCAACTGCTGTATCTCCAGGTTCAACATTCACTTCAGTCTCATAATGTACTTCAGTTATTTCGTTCTATTTGCGAGATTCTTCCACAAGGCGTATATTGGAGGTAAGAAGGACAAGAAGATATATAAGCACGAGAACAATGGACACATCAACGAGGAGTACAGCAATGGAAAGCTCAAGAGCAACTGAACATGATGGAGATATTATTGCGAGAGACAGGTCAGGGTGATGGAGAATCGTGAATATCTTGGGATTTACGAGAGGTAGCGAAATTTTGGTAGAATTCGTTTTTGTGGGGAATTTTGTCGGCTGCAGAAATGGTTTTATCAGTTTTTTCACTAACTCTCATGGATCACGAGATATTCGCTGAAATCTTGGGGTTTGATTTGGGGAGCACTTGATTCACCGGACTCTGGGATTTTTGGTGAATATAGTGAATATTTCAGGATCTATGGGATACAGTGAAATTTTGGTGAGAATTGTTTTTGTGGGTAATTTCATCAGCTGCAAAAAAGGTCATATCTATTATTTTTCTGGCTCTCGTGGATAACGAGATATTCTCGAAAAACCGTTGAGTGTTATTAGGGGACACTCCGGACTGAGTGGATTAGGTGGTCTCTCTGGTTTTTAGTGAATATCTCTGGATCTCGGGGAAATGGTGAGAATTTTGTAGAGGATGTTTTTGTGGGTTATTGTTCTAGCTACAAAAAAGGTAGAGTGATAATTTTGGTAGCTTCGATGGGTCATGAGGTATATGATTTTATCGGGGGATAGGTCGGGAGTAAATTATTCAGGGATTGATTTTCAAGGAAAATGGACCAAAGAGGGAGGGAATTGTGGTCCGAATTATTTATGCACAGCACATGTTTTATTTGTTTAATTGGAGCACAAATTTTTGTTTTTCAACGATTGATGATTTATTCGGGGGTGAGGGGTGGGTAGATTAGAATATATTTTAAGATCACAGTGGAGGGGAAATACCGTAATATTTTCTATGGGCCCGTTTGGTGTTTGGATCCGGTGTAGTGGGTTCTGTCGGACGCGTGACCCACATTCTGCTTGACACTGGAGAGATCTCACGGAATGAGAGGTCTATTGGCACTCGGTATTTTTTTTATTTCATGCGCAATTTCGAGAGGTCAACGGAGATATCATGTAAATGAAGATATATTTTTCTCGGAAATTTATCTCACCAACCGCTCAGTTTAGAGATAAATGCCGGAAAAGTTTTTTGCGGGAAATTTAATAATCTACCAAAAATCTCTTATGACTTTTTATACTCTTGTCAATCGTCTTCGAAATACACGCACAATTTGAAATTGAAACATCCATGTTTATTAGAAAAATCGAATCAGAAGTAGAAAGCGAACAGCCAATTATCTTGATAGCGAGTGGTTTTAGGAGAAAATGGTAGATAAATTTTTGGTGGATAATTCGATTGTCTACCAAAAAGGTCGAATGAAGTTTCGGCTGGGAGCGATGAGTACCGAGATAATTGGAAAAATTGGAGAAATGGAGGGGGTGGTAATGAGGGGATTTTTTGGGATTTTTCGGGTGGATGGGAGATTATCTCGGGAATGAGGGGTTTTAGCGAAAAATGTTGTGGGACTTTTCTCAGGGGAATTTAATTCTCTAGAAAAAGTTTCTCATGACTTTTCCTCGTAAAACCACTCCGTTCCCGGATACATGAGTAATTCACAAATATTGACTACTCAGCTGATGGGAGATTGTCACGAAACGACGTCTCTTCAACTCTAAATCTCGAAATATCATCAGATAAAAATTACTCAATTATTTTTTCCCGTTCCAAAGTTATCCTCGAGCGTCAAAATGAAACGGGATTCGTTCGAATTGTGTCGGTAGATATCGGAGAAACTCCTCACTACGATTTACTATTCGATATTTTCCCTTTTCTTTACGAGTTTCCGCTCATCTGCATACTTCACCAGTGTAAATCAATCTCGAAGCGTTTGTTACATGAATCATTGATAGGATAAACAGCAAAAAATTACACGGAGTGAATAAATCACACTTCAACAAAAAAACCTAAGAAAATGATTTAAACATTGAAGAAAATGCAGAGTGAAGACGAGTTTTTGTCAGATATCTTCAAACCCGCAGGAGATGACGAAATTTTTATCAAACCCATTTTTGGAGCTTAGGAAATTCTCTACAAAAAAGGTTTAGGAGAAATTCCTCTAGCTCCTCCAAATAACTAGATAAATCAAAAGTACGTAATGGGATCGTTTCGTCAGTGAAAACTTCAAAACAACTATCCCGATGGATTTTGAAACCAAGTGTAAAGTTCATAGACGTCAAATCCTCATTTGCATAATAGTCTCAGGCGAGACAAACGCGACTATTAGATAATCGAATGGCGGATGTAATTTTTTTATTGTGTCCGGATATTCGAAAAACGATTTTCCTGATTCGCGATAAATTCGAATTAATTTAATGACGACCTCAAAAGGTCGGGTTGACAGTGGGTCACGCGTCGTCATCTGTGCGATCAGGAAATATTCCACTGATGCATCAATTATTTACAATGCCAATTAATTATTTAACAGAAAGATTAAAAAATATTAATGAGACTTTTCACGATTGTGTGGATTGTACAGGTCATGAGAAATGCGATTGTTATTTACTATGTAAATGACTGGTGCTTGTCCGACAATTGCGCAACAATGATGGTAATTAGATGAGATATGAGTTTTTTGTCGAGCAGTGATTTTGTACATTTTTTGGTCAATTAAAAAAAAATAGTTTCATCCCAGAGTGAAGGGGAGACTTTTTTTTTGAAATATTGAACGAAAATTGAAATATCTGGAAATCTATCGGAGATTGGAGATCTCTTGTAGGAGCTTATTTGTGGAGAATTTTATCAGCTACAAAAAGCTTCCAACAAAAATTTCGCTGTCTCCTCAAGATAACGAGATATCTCCGAAAAACTCATGTACCTCCCAAATCGCACGAAATACGATGGAGCCATTTTACTCCGTGATTTTTCGAGAATACCTCCGAATCCTCAGGAGATAGCAAAAACTCGTGAGGACCTTTCTCGTAGATAATTTCCTCAGCTACAAAAAATGTCCAACAAAAAATCCGCTAGCTCCTGTAGATTCGGAGATATACCCCAAAAGCCTCAAATGTAAAAAAATACGAACAGTGTAAAAACGTTGAGAAAAAATAACAACCAGTTTTACTGTAATCACATGCTTTCTCGATAGATAAGTTTTCAATTGTAAGTGTGTGTGTGCGTGAACGTGTGTATTATATAAGTAATCAATTTTCACGTGAATTGGTGGGTCCGTATCGAACAAGATGATTAAATGGGCTTATTTTTCCCTGGAGAGAGAAAATTGTAAAAATAAAAATTGTCATAAATCGGACAGTACGTGACACTTGCTCCTCAGAATTTTTTTTCTGGGTCATTGCCAATTGCTGAGGTCAGCCCGGGGCGCCGGAGACTACTCGGAGGATAATTTTTTAGTCATGGAGGCTTTTGTTTGTTTTTTTTAGAAATTTCCGAAAATAATAACAATCGGTATGGGCATACGTTTTGGGCGTACAAAGCGCGCAGGACGTGCTTTAAAATCGATAAGTACTCTCTCAAAGCGCGTATACCCCTTCATCTTGGCCAATTTACTTTCTCTAATCATCTAGATTCTCCAATTTTGTTTATTTTCGTTGATAATTCGGTAATGGAGTCGTGTCGGGAATTTTTAATGGTGATTTTTTGTGGTTGTACCGACCGGAGAGCGTCTAAGAGGCAGTTCACGTGGACATTTTTTGTGGGGAATTTAATTCTCTACAAAAAATGTCATATCTATTTTTATCGTAAACCCAACGGATTTCGGGATATTTCGAAAATTTACAGAGAAAAATTGAATGTCAAAATTCAACTGTTCAATTTTTTGAATTAAACAAATGGAAATATCTCCGGAGCGACACATTTCGCCGAAAAATATCATTAGAATTTTTTGTCGGAAATTTGATTTTCCATAAAAAGTTTCTAATACGTTTTATTCTAAAACCGCTCGTTCCCGAGAAAAATCAAGAGAATGTCGAAAACCGAATTTCTCAAATGCTCAAGAACTGAATAAAAAGCCTCGAACATCACGAAGAGTTATTTAACAAATTCATTGTAAAATCCACGACACGACTCGGGAGCTCCACAAAATCGAAAAGAAAAATTATTTTCAATATTTTTAACGACTTAAGTACTCCAAGCGCATCTGGAATGTGTCAAATTTTTGTAATACATTATAATTATGTAAAAAACAACATGAGAAAGAAGCTTTATTATACCATGTGAAGGACACTGATTGTTTTGTATTCAATCCCGATTTCCTTCTTCCTCAATTTTTTTTTCTGTTGGTCAATGGTCAAAAGTTGAGTAGACGAAGTCACGGAAATGGAATCAATTATTCCATACAGCCTGTTTGCTCATTACTGAGGGATTGACATCGTCGAGAATAAGTCGATGATGTAACTAAAGCTGAAGATACCAAAACTAATTTGTCCAGGCGTTTTTGATTCCACATCAAGCGATCGAATGATTTAGTGATGCTATCTCTGATATAATTTTTATCCGTTTTTTAATAATAATTTTTGTGTTTAAAAGTCCATTAGTACGGGAGATTAGATAGCAAGTTTTATAGTACATCAGCCGGATGTGCCGGTAATGAATTTTGAGATCAGATGTTTCTTTCGTAATCGAATTTCCGCAAAATAATCTCAATCACGTGAAAAAAAAACAAGATAACGAGGATCAAGGTCCAGTTTTTGTGGAATAACTCGTGACCCATGGGGGATAGAAAAAATAGTTGTAGGAAGTGTTTTGTGGAAAATTTTGTTAGCTACAAAAAGTTTTCAACACAAATTTTCTTATTTCCTCTCGATTTCGCGCTAGATCCTGAAATTCAAATCCCCGTTTTCTAGTCATCAGGATTTTTCCTCGACGAGTTCTGCACGCATACTTCGAAATGTATGGGAGAGAGAGAAAAAATGTTGAGAACGAAAAAATAGATCTTGAAATTCTCTACAAAAAAGTTCTCTACGAAATTCCTGGATCTCCTTCAGATCCCGAGATATTCCGGAGTTCCTCCCAAAAGGGTTCAAAAAAAAAAGTAAATCATCACAAATCTCTTCCATTCGATTTGTTTTAATAAAAAAAAATCCAAATCCGTCATTAAAACTTCAATAATCAACTTAATCAATTAAATATATACACGTAATCTCGAATAATCATTGCCTTAATTTATTTGTTGTTGTCTCCGGACTTGTCCTTTCCCCATTCTTCAGAAATATAAGTGAGAAAATCGTTGAGGCCCTCAAATTCAGTCCTGCTCTGTGGAGGATCTTTCTTCGATATCCTGGGGAGAAGAGACCCCATTTTATTTCGAAACTCATAAGCATTGGTAGCACCTGACAGTTTCCAGATCCCATAAAATATCAAACTGCAACCAGTGACTGCATAGACCGTTCCCCATCCCAGGGCCCTCATCGCCAGGGAAACCCCAGCCTCTGTCGTACCCCTCACCCCAACCACCCCTTCCTCGAAGTACTTGGGATCCTTTTTCCTGACAGCTGCCACTGTTGTGCCAAATCCAATAATTGCAGAAATCCCAGTGACAGCTCCGAGGAATAAAACCCCTGAAAATTTTCAAAAAAATAATCTTACCAACAAATTATCATAATTATTACCAGATTTATTATTATTATAGGAATTCTAGTGATTTCCAAATTGTCTTGACAATATGATTGATATTATTTATCTTTAAAAAGCCATAAATGATTTTTGAAATAAAATTTTGCAAACGTGAAATTAGTCATTGATGATTATTTTTTAGAGTGAGGTTATCCTCTCTGGAGCCCCCAAAAAGTGTCAGTGAGGATTTTAGTTGAGTTCTATGAATAAAACTTGCCATAAAATTTATTATCCTTGCTGTCAGCTGTGTGTTTGACGAGTGACAAGTCACCAGGGTGATTATTCACGTGGGGAACATCATCATTTCGAGGAAAAACATCATCTCCCGACATGACTTGAATCGGTGGACGAACTACCAACTGATGAGATTAGTTGGTATGACTGTCATTCAGGTGGTGAATTACAAGCGAATTTCATGTGACAATAGTCTGGTGTTTTTCAGGGTGTTGAAATCACCTGTCATTGACAGATGAAGACAGATTTCTGAGGGGAGGACGATTATCGAGACATGGAAGGTAGATTTTTGTGTTTATTTTTAAATTTTTAATGAGTGGTGTGAGATATTCCTGGGATTTGATGATGCAGAGGTTCAGCAGAACATCGAGGAACTTGTCCAGGAGCTCAGGGAAGTTGTCAAGCTCAAGGACGAGTTCAGGGATTTATCGGATATCGTGAGGATACTGGATTGTTTAGTTGATGCCAGCAAGAAGACCATTGCTGGTGAGTTGTCTCTGGTTGTTGGTGAATATCTCCGCACCTCTGGGAGACTCATCATTTTTTGTTGAACCTTTTTTATGAACAATTTTATCACCTCCAAGAAATGTCTTATCGAGAATTTTGATATTTGCTCTGGATAACGAGATATTCAAGAGAAACTGGAATTGAATTTTTTATTTATCATTGATGGGGACTAGAAGACGAAAGCTGTGTCTCCGGTCATGGTTTCATTTTTTTCTAGATGATTTCGAGTTCGATGTTGATGATATGTTCCTCAAACTCCTCAGCCACGAGTCCAAAGTTATAGTAGCCAAGAGTGCGAAAGCAATAGCCGAAATAGCAAAGACTGAGAGCGGAAGACTCAAATGTACCAATGATAATCTAGTGAAAACACTGATGGATTTGTTGAAAGGAGATGATGTCAACGTTCTCACCCAGGCGTCAAGAGCTCTGGGGAATATATGCTACGAGAACGGTACAGTATAATCATTTCCCCAATTTTTAACTCGTGCAAGATTCCAGCAATCGTGTGATTTTTCAGAGCAGGGGAAGAAGCTGGTGCAGAAAAATAATGGCCTGCCCTATATTTTGGGGGTTTTGCGACGTGGTGTGAGGCTGGAGGACAACGAGAGGGCGAAATTGCTTCGAAATGTTGCTGCTGGCTTCCTCCTGAACTATCTCGACGACCAGGAGCCCCTCCAGAAGAAAACCCTCGCCGACGATCTTGTTCCAATCGTCTGCGATGTCCTGGAGATCGATGGAAGGACTGGAGGAGAAGCTGCAATGCACGTTCTCCTCACTCTCGAGATACTCAACGACTCTGGGATACAATTCCTCGATGAGAGGCTGACGAAAATTCTCGTGGAGATCCTCGCAGGGGAATCCTCCTCGGAGATGTCTCAGATGTGTCTGGAATTACTCCATGGACAGGCAGAGAATGGTGATTTCATTAAATCCATTCATCCATTCACATTTTCATCTCAATTTTAGGATTTCATGAACTTTTACTTTTTTTTCAATTTTTATTCACGACTTTTTGAGAGGGAAGGAGTGGGTTGAGTGGAAAATGTGATAAGAAATTTTACCTCGGAGATTTTCTCCTCCAGAAAAAAGTCCTCAAGTATATTACTCAGGAATGATTAATTTTCGAGATAAATTAAAGGATCGTTGATCGATTGAAATTTCAGAGAATGCCAAGATGTTGCTTGCAAAAGCTGGTGTCTGTGAGTTACTTCTCGCCCTCCTCGAGAAGAATGTCACCAGGTGCGTCGACGAGGAGACCCGAGGTGTCCTGAAGACTGCCTGCAACCTCATTGTCCTGATAATAACCGGCGACGAGAGCATGAATTATCTTTATGGGAACAGCAACGGCGAGGTGTACAAAAAACTCGTCTCCTGGTTGGAGGACGACTGCGATGAGGACCTCCAGGTGGCAGCCGTCCTGGCGATGGGTAATTTTGCCAGGACAGATGCACATTGTGAGCTCATGGTGCTCCAGGGTGTCCACAAACGACTGATGGAACTCCTGAAGAAAAATAGTAGCTGCGATGGGGACATCAGGTTTCAGCACGCACTACTCTCTGCTGTTCGAAATCTAGTCATTCCGAATAATAATAAACCAGTCATGCTGAGGGATGGACTGATCGACGTCGTGTATCCCATGCTGGAGATACCCACATATCCAGTTGTCTTCAAGCTCCTGGGAACGTTGAGAATAGTCATCGACGATCAAGGTTCTTTCAACTCCCCTTTTAATTTCGTTTTGCCACACAAAAAATGAGTTTTGAGGAAAATTACATAAAACATTTTTCATGGAGAACTCAATTCTCTACAAAAAATTCCTCTAGCACTTTTCCCTCAAATCTGTAGTTCTTGAAATAAATGCACACAAATAAAACTAGAGTCCACAAATTTTCAGGATTTGTTAATTAATTTTGGATGTTTCATTGGAATAATTCTAATAGGTGAGGCAGCGACTTTATTAGGGAGGAAAGAGGACTTGGTGAAGAAAGTCATCGAGTGGTGCAGCACTGAGGATGCCCCAGGAGTCCAGGGAGAGGCAAATCGTCTGATTGCATGGCTAGTGACAAACAGCAGAGACAAAGAAGTCGTTTCGTTATTAATTAAAAATGGTGCCGTTGAGTTCCTCTCGAAGATGATTATTGCACCCCACGCCCTGATGCAGAACGAGGCCCTCGTGAGTCTCACTATCATGACAGCAATGGCCCTCGATGAATGTCAGCCAGAACTCATTAAATTTCGAATCGAAGACACCATAATTAAATTTTATCGAGAAAGTGTCGCCAACCTGCAGCCCCCAATCGTCGAAAACGCAATAACTTTCATGAATATTATGATAAAATCAGGTATTCACTAATAATTATTAAATAATTTTCTGTCTATTCATTCTGCATATTATGAGATTTTTTAAATTATTTAATTTACAATTTACGAGAAACGGACAAATTGATTATTCATATCCATTTTTTTTTCAGAGGCTCTAAAGGATCATCTGAAGAGCTCAAAGCTCCCTGAAGCTCTGGAGGAGTTCCAGACCTCGGAAATAAACATGCCAGACGAAAAAACCAAAACGAAACTCTTTCTCAACGCTCTGAACTGATTCATAATTTCCACTTGAAAATCGAGGATCGCTGCCACAACACACGTCAATCCATTCCACTCTCCAAAAATCTAAAAACTGATCTCAGTGATGGGAATTACAGGATAAATCGAGGTGACATCGATACTGAATTGTGCCAATTCCACATAAATAATCAAAATTCATCTATTTTTATTACGAGAAAAGGAACAATTGTGCATTTTAATTATTAAATTGAACGAGTACTGTATTTTGTCGTTTATATATACAGCCTACTGTGGAGTGTACTTTATTTATCAAATAAAGAATATTTTATTGATGTACATAATTAACAACTAACTGAATAACTGATCCATCAGTAGTTTAAAAACAATTTGATGAATAAATAAAGTCGATTTCACTCGATAAACTCCACAATATCTAGTCCTTCACGACGAAGAAATTCTCGATGACATCAACAACTCGTGTGCCATTCAATCTAGACACCCCAACCACCACTGATAAAACTTAATCACCTAATGACAATTTCCTGCTGATCTCCCGGGTAATTGGTCTCAAGTGAGTACATGAAATAGTTCTAACCGTGCGTCTTACAGTCAAGCAATTTCATCCCAAGTGTCGAGAGTTAAAATCGAAAGATCAGAACGAAATCGGAATGAAGCCCTCAATTTGCCTGAGTATTCTGGTATCAGTGCTTCTAGTTCAGGCCCAGGAAAAAGAATTCCACTCATTCCAGGAGGTGTACAACAATTCGCCAGTGCCTCTTCAAGTCCTCCAATACAAAGAATCAGACACCTTGAACCTCATTTATAATGAGTCATTACTGATGCGTCGAGGTACCCTGGACAATGTCTCCTCGGAGTGCATCTCCATAACATTCACCATTGCCAGTTTCTTAAGACTGGAACGGGAGTCCCTCCTGGGTCTCAAGGCCCGAAGTCTCTATATAAATAATGCAATCGTGGATATCCAGAAGGGATTTATCTCACCTGGCAGCCTGAAGTCTCTTATCCTGGACAACTGTGGAACCCCTGAGACACTCCTCACTGTACCCAAGATATTCACAGACCTCGAGGAGCTGCACTTCTACAGCAATAATCTACCCGTCATTCCCTCGAAGACATTCGTCTCTATGAAGAACCTCAAACGGCTGTCTCTGGTTCTCAGCAACATCGTCACCCTGGAATTGGGTTGCTTCAGCGGTCTCAATGATCTCCTGGTGCTAAATCTGTCGTACAACAGGTTGAATACAGATTTTATTGATTTAATGGAAATCATCAATTCAAAAACTCAAGTCAATCATTTAATTGCACAATTACAATTATATGATTATAGAATTTTTTTATTTACAGATTTACATCTCTTCCTTCTGGTGTTTTCGATGGGTTTTCGAAGCTGAAGCACCTCTACGTGGACAATTGCCACGACCTGAAGCAAATCGACGTCAATGCCTTCCGAGGGATGGATTCCCTGGGTGAACTCTGGCTGCAGAACAATTCAATTGATTCCCTCCAGGTCGGACTATTCGACGACCTCCGGAGTCTAGCTGCCCTATCCCTGGAGTCCACAAACATCACTCACATCCCCAAGGGTGTTTTCGATAAAGTCAAGACCCTGAGAGTCATTTACCTGAAGAACAACCGAATCACGTCGATAGAACCCAATGCTTTTGCCGTTCTCAATCTTGAGTCGCTGGAGCTCAGTGGAGGTCTCAGCCAGGATGCCCTGGCACCTGGTATCTTCAATGGTCTCACCGTCGAGGATCTTCATCTCAGGGGCAATGACATCCGGGAGATAAAGCCCAACGTCTGGGACGGATTATTCGCTGAGAATGTCAATCTGAGCTCCAATAATTTGACTAAAATTTCAGTAGAGTATTTCGCTGGTCTCAACACCACGACGCTCTACCTCCTGGCGAATGGAATCACTGAGATAGCACAGAATGCTTTCAAGAATACACACGTCAAGGAGATTGATCTCAGGAATAATACCATTAAAACTGTGGAGAAAACCACATGGGGACTCCCAGAGTCTGTTAAAATTACGATTGAATAATTTAAAATAATTTTTTAACGCTTTAATTTACACGGTTTCATCGTCCGAGGGGTTTGATCGTCTTGAAAGGGACGACTGTACCTGGCCAAGGTTTTTTCCCATGAGGTTTTCCCTTTGGCCCTCGGCGTAATTGCGGTACAGGTGAAATTGGAGAAGGGAATAAAATGTAAAAACACGAAAGGGTGTGGAGTCAAATAAAATGTAAAGCCATTTCATTGGACTCCACATATCGTACTATTAATATTAATGTTATGTGAGAATATTAGTCTGTTTTACATGTCTAGTACCATAAATATATATTTTAAAGCCCTTTTCCCTTCTCTTATTGTCCAATAAAATATTCTTGCAATGGTTATTCCATTTTATTCATTGCATTGATGATTATGAAAAGAAAATAATTAAATCTCTGTTTAGAGTATTTTTCATGAACTTGAGGATCACAATTTTAACAATGAAATTAATTTATTCTAGAAGCAATAAACCATTGTTTTAGGATTTCTGCTTGCTCTCCCATTCACCCCAGCCTCCTACGTAGTTCCAAGCGCTGAAAACAATTTTAGGTAATTAATGAATTTTATTTAATTAGTTAAGTGTTCCTGAGGGGTAGTTCGAATTTTACTTTTGATATCCCAGTTTTTGGAGCTCTTCCTGAACTTTAGCACTTCTCATGCCTGCCCTGCAGCTTAGGATTATCTTCGTGTCTTTCTGGGGCTTTGGTTTCTCGTATTGTTTTTTGAACTCATTCTCGGCGAGAGTCTCTAAGACTTTTGATACGTTTCCCACTGCGAGTGGAGAAGAAAAATAAAAATTTTATATCTTATATTTACTGGAGTGAAACGTAGATTTATCAACACCTAGAATAAAAAAAACTCACTCGGGATGTGAATGCTTCCAGGAAGTTTTCCAGTCTCATCGATCTCCTTTTGCTCTCTGACATCGATAATCAGGACCTGGTGATCCTTTTGGGCCTTTAGGAGGCCCTCGTAATCGACATTCAGGGGAACAGTTTCTGTTGCTCCTGTTGACATTCTGCTGACACCAATCGAAATTGCAGGACTGATTTCTAGAATTAAATTAGCTGGAATTAAAACAAAGCACATGTACTTGATCATGTCTACCTCGAGTGATTTTAATTGGATAGAGATAAAATTTCTTGTTGAGAGAAATCACAATCTGATGTAAGAATTGTTACGTTTTGGACTCGGTAATCGGCGGTGATAGAATAATGATCTGCAGTGTGACAACTTGAACGATCGAAATGTTCTCCAGACTCTAATTAATTGGACAGTCATTTCCGACGATAATGAGAGAATCAATTGTAGAATGATTTTAACTCGAGTACATGTGCGATTACATAACCAAAAATCCCGAGATTTCACAACTCATTATTTAGTTATTTATTACAACCTCTTCGGTTTATCATAAATAATTATTGCCTTCCAATAATTTAATAACAATTCACCTTATAACCTGTATTGTTTCAAATTTAAATGATTACGTCAAGAGCTATTTACAAATTAATTCAAATCATCAATTAATTTATCTTTTTCAATTTAAGTTTCTTCAGGTTCTCCAGAAGAAGTCGATAAATTGGAAATAATGAACAACAAGTAATTCCTGAAAACAAATCATGGCTTCTCAGTTTTTGACGAGACAAAAATAGAAGATAAATAAATAGCGAATGAATGATGGATAGGATAATTCTCATCCATCGGTTCATTGATTTCCATTTTCATAACTTTGTTATATATTTTTTTTTATTATTGACGTCGCCATCTTTGTAATTATACTACGTGCGTACTCGTATTTTTAAAATGACTTTTTATATTATTTTCCCTCCCCCACCAAAACCACGGCCATTTTGTATCGTGTCGCACCCTGACGAGGAATGCGTTAATCAGTGATTTTTTATTTTCTCGTGGACGGCGAAGTAAAGGGTCCTAATTTATTAAAATAGTTACGAATTTATCGAAGCTGTTCACCTCGGTGACAAAAGAAAAAAAGTCCGTAAGTACTCGCAATCGATCAATTACCTGTAATTAATTCAGGGGTTGATGACCAGGGGTAGGGGTGTGGGGATGGCCAATGGTCACAATGAGTTTTGCCTTTTGTTTATTTGTGCAGCTACTCAGATCTCTCCAGGTTTTCGAAAAATATGGAGACTGCTGTGATAATTATATATTTCAGATTTTGCCGATTTCTTTTTTTTATTTTTGACGGTTGATGGGTGTGGGGTGGGGGGGATTTCGGGGAAATCACTGGAATTCCTGAGAGGTTGATGTGATGAAATCACCCGTATCCGTTTGGATTATCAAAATTCCAGAGTGTTGACACCTCTGTCAGTGTTCTCTGCTCTATCACTAACACTTTGACAGTTTGTCATTGTCAATTATTGCATTTTATCTGGGAGGTCATCAGTCGCATCTGCGAATTCGTCATTTTGCACTGAAAATCATCGAAATTCTACGAAATTTGTTTAATTCAGATTCTTAATAAATTCACTAAACAATCGGTGATTTTCATTAGCTACATAAATTATTATTCCATTAGAAATAAAAAATCATTTATACCTCAGGTCATGCAAATATGCATTTGCAATCCCCAATTAATTTGTGGTTTTTAAATTAATTGATTGGAGTTCTGGAGATATAAATAATTCAAAATTCTAATTAAAAATTCAATTTTTATTTGGGGAAACGAAAGATTCGATGAGAGTGTAATTCCGATGATTATCTCAATCCCACGTGATCTGTTCGGAATTCTTTTCATTTTTCAAACTGAAACGCATCTCCATTCCATTTTGAGTTGCCCCCTGAACTTTTATTGAGGTCAACCCCGATAAATGAATGTAAAAAAAAAGAAAATCATTAATCTTCCAGTAGCAACTGAGGACTTAAATGAACTTGTAGAATGAGTTCACTTCAGCAAACCGGTCGATTCCTGCCGTTCACGAATAACAATATTCAACGTAAACAATTATCCACTCAAGGTAACTTAATCATGTCAATCAACGTCATTAGCTCGTGGTAATTACCCATCCAAAGCGGTAATACACCGTTAGAAAATAATTAGATATCAAGGACAGATGACACCTAATTTTCAGGAAAGTCACATTAAATTCGCTTTATAATTGAATTAAAACTTTTTTTTTAATTCTTAAATTTTAATGGGAAGAATAAAAATCTATTCGTAAATTGAAAGATTAAATTGAATTGATAGGACTGCCACAGAGCTTGAGTGGCAGTGATACAGATGTATCAACATCGAACGAAAATTTGAGTAATGAGGAGAGGTACGTGATAAGACATACAGCTAGACAGGAGCCCCAAGGACAGGAGAATCAGCAGCAGAGTCCATCGAGATCATCAAGTCATAAAGAAAACATACCAAATATTCAAGTAAGTGAATAATCCATTGCTCCTAAATAAATATTTTCCAATTTTTCAATTGATTCCAACTCGATTTCCTCTGTAGCAATTTACTTTCCCCCAATTCTCTGACAATTCAGATAAAAATAATGAATGAAAAAATTTCCTCAGGGTTCAATAATAAACCGAAATAGTCTGAAGGATTCTCTAACTGGCTCGAACCGCAACAGCCTGAAAGAATCACTGAACGGTTCAAACCGAAATAGTCTGAAAGACAGTATCAACGGTTCGAATCGTAACAGCCTGAAAGAATCCCTGAGCAATCGTACAAGTGTGGGATCAAACCGAAGTAGTTTGGATATCTCCACGAGCTCCTACAACACGCTAATAATCCACAACGCCAACGACGAGAACAACTGGTCACCATCGGGTCGTCTCTCCTCGATAGTCCGTGAAAACGTAGACATGGGTTATCTGTACTGCGAGGGAAGTGGAAAGGGTCTCTCAAGTCCAACAATGCAGTCCCTCTCGAGTATAACCCACGAGGACAGATACTACGATCAGGCCAACAGCTGTCAGGAGATAACGGACATCCCTGATGATTACCTGAGCCAATCCCAGGTGCTCAAGCACTTGGCAAAGGAAGTTAAACCCTCGTATCCAAAAACCAAACAGAACAGCAATGAGTTTACGGACAGGCCACCCCCCAGCTACACCACAACCCTCAACCCCTTGAAGTCTAAGCGACTGCTGGGTCCCACCGAGAAACTCACCCTCTCCAGGTCACAACCTGATTTATCAAGAATTGGTAGACTCGATCTTGATGTTTATGATCAACCAGTGACATCGCCGAGACCCCAGACAAAGGGTCGAGAAGAAATCGAGAGAAGCTCGAATGAGATTTGGCCCCCATCAGAAATGGTCCAGATTGTCATCCAGGAGAACAGTGCACTCAAGCTCGAGCTGGAGAGATGTTACAATAAAGTTTCAAAGTCCCAGAAGCTGGAGCAGGAAATATCAAAGGTTCACAGGGCTCACGAGGAATTGGCAGCGTCGTGCGAGAGGAGGGAAAAATTGGAGAGAGCTGCGAGGCTGAGGCTCCAGAATGACGTGAGAAGACTGACAGAGTTGAATCGAGCACTCAGAGATCAGATTGATCTCTTGTCATCTAGATCAGACAATACACCAGTCGTTGAGTCAATGAAGAAAGAGTTGACGCAGAGGGAATTGCTCATTGGACAGTTGATAACCCAAAATAAGGAGTTGGCAGCTGCCAAGGAGAGACAGGAGATTGAATTGGCTGCTCAGAGGGCAACACTCCAGGAGCAGAGAACGCATATTGATATTTTGGATACTGCATTGACGAATGCACAGGGAAATGTGGTGAGGCTTGAGGAGGAGTGCAGGAAGAAGCAGGCGTATGTTGAGAGGGTGGGACAGCTGCAGAGGGCTTTGTCCTCGTTGCAGGCGTCTTCTGATAGAAGGGAGGAAACTGAGAGGCAGCTCCGGGGTCAGCTTGAGAGGGAACTCAGGGAAGGGGGTATGGGGGGCGAGGGGATTGCCAGTGGTGAAACTGTTGCTGAATTGAGGAGGAGGATGAGGGAGAGGGATGAGAAGATCATGTCACTTGAAGGGGATGTCGCCAAATGGGAGCAGAGGTATCTCGAGGAGAGTGCACTCAGGCAAGCTGCCATCGATGCTGCTAGTCTTCCAAAGTTAGTCATTCATTTTTTTTTCGTGGGAAAATATTGAATGTATTGTAGACAAAAGGAAATTTGGGTGGCGATTATAAAAGGGAATTTTTATATCGAGATATTTTCTCTGTTCTCTCGTCTTGTTTCAATTCTCAAATGTCTCGTGATCCTCAGGGACGCCAAGATAGCAGCCCTGGAGAAGACCAGCCAAGATGCTGAAAAACTCATCGCCGAAGCGAGATCCGAAAAAATGAGGCATCTAGACGAAGTACATGCGGCTCACAAGAAACTCGCTGACCTTGAATCTAGGTAATGAATAAAAGACTTTTTTTATTTTTTATTTGAGTTGTAAAAAAATTCAGGGACATATCATAGATGAGATGAGAGTGAGAGCTCGATACCCTGCAGTCTAAATGAACGTTCTGACACATTTTTTTCTCCCCTTCTGATTTTAGAATGAAAGATCTTGAGTCAAAGCTTGCAGAGAGAGACGCAATGATACGCGTACTTCAGAAACACACGTACGATAAAGATAGTAGCAGTAGCAGTGGAGTTGGTAGCTATCCAGCTGCACATTCCTCGCACTCTAGTACATCAGCGGATCATACCGGTTTGACCAGTACTCCAGAGCTCGGTAAATGAAATTCTAATTGGAATAATTCTAACTGTTAAAAAATCATTTGACCATGATTTTTCTTCTGCATTGACTCAACAGTACGTATGTCAGCAGCTAGCAGTGTTCTTGGTGGTGGTGGTACGTACGGTAGTACTGGTACTTACGGTGTCACTGACAGCTACAAGTACAGAAAACAGGGTAGCTTCGAGCAGACGAACAAGAGCCTCGATGATCAATTGAAAGAACTCGACTCACAGCTACTCAGCAAGGTAGGAAGAATCTCCACAGTGTAGTGTGTCACATTTTCATTTTTAAATCACTTTTAGTTATGATTTTTTTATGACGTTTATTTCTTCTTCGTGTCGATCTCCAATTTCGGTATCATTTTTTTTTTTTCGTCGTGATTGTCAGGGGTGGATTGCAATTCCTTTTGCGTTCATGGAATAGAGCAATTATTTTTGGGGTGAGAAATTACGGAGTATTTTGTAATCAAGGGAAATTGAATTGCAAAGAAAAATGAAAACGTAGAAATTGTTAAAGTGCGACGTCAAGGGAATTGCAATTATCAGGTGCTGACAGGATAGGGCTGAGTGTTCAATACAATCGAGAAATATTTCGAATTGATTCTACGAACGCTCTGCAGAATCAATTCGTTATATTTATCCGTAACATCCACGAGTCCAGTTCCGTGGATATTTTATCATTTCGTCAGGATTTACAGGTCATGAGAATTCATATTCCCAATATTTACAATCAGGTATCGTAATCTCAATTTGTGTGTGACGTTATTTGACTTTTAAGCGAAATGAAAAAATTCATTTTTCTATGGACTTTGTGTTTTTCTTCTTAAATCTCTGCACTGTAAAAAATCGCAGTCCTAATCAATAAATTAATTGTAAATACTTCAATTCATCTCGATCTGTTCAGACGTATTTTTTACAGTGTAAAGCATCCGTAACCTATTATACAATTATCACCAATAAAAAGTATTAATACCAAGAGGTGAAATGAGTCTCTCACATCCTAAACAAGCGGTTGAATTTTATTATCCAAAAGTCTAAATCGAGTGGCAGCTATCCTACCCTTAACACTGGATTTTTGTTTTTTATCCCGACTTTCCTATTAACAATTAAACACAAAGAATGCATAAAAAATTATTGGCAATTCGACCTCCACTTCCCATCCCAATTACCAAGCAAAAAAAAAAAACAAAAAAGAAAAACCAAACAAACGAAAATTGCCCGAGTGGAGCATGTGCTGTTGTGAAATTTGGCACTAACAAATCCTAAGTGAAAAAAAAAAAAAAAAAGAAAAAAAAAAGCTCCTGCCTCCTCTCCAATGGTTCGGGAATTTTTTCGTTTGTTTTCAGCGGGCACTTTGCTGTTTTCCAGGATTCTCTAATCCAGGCACTGCGTCGAGAAAAGGAAAAATATCCAAGCCATTATTGGCGGGTGTAGATAGCGCAGGTAGTTCAAGTACAGCATCGAGTAAGAGTCGTTTGTTGGATGACAGTGGTGTTGAGGCTGGAATTATTGAATTTGGTCGAATGAAAGGTACAGTATCCCGTCTGTCCGATGGTAAACCAGAGGACATGATGCTGCTGGAGAAGCAGGGTAGAAGCTCCCAGAGACAGAGAATGCAAGAGGGTGAGCAGAGAAGAGCAGGAAGTCTGCCACCGAGTTCATTGCCAAGACCACCGAGGGCCCTAAAATCATCGCGTTACTGCAGACTGAGTGATACCGAGACAAGAAAAAAATCAGATCCAGGTCCTGTCATCGATACTGGAATTAAGACGAGAGATTCAGGCAACTGTACCCTGGAGTATGGGAGATTTGACCTGAAGAATCAACGGAGAAAGAAGTCAGATGGTTTTGTCCAGGGGAACCTGAAGAAGCCATCGAGTGGGGAATACGAGAGGCTCGGGGAGACGAAGAAGATCGGCGGTATGGGAGATGTGAAGCACAGGGAACAGCAGGGAAGATCTCTCATTCCACCGCCTTCTAGGAGAATTGGGGAGTATGGGAGGCTCAGTGATGGGGATGCCAAGGCAACCCTCAGGAAACAGGTCGGTATGTCCAGGGGTCTCAGCACTGGCAGCACTGTGTCAAGCAAAAGCGGTGGAAGGGACTCCGGTGGAACTGCCAGTGATGCATCCATATCCAGTCTTCCACCTGTCAAAGCTAGATCAATACCCAGGCCAAATTATCGGATTCAATTCTGACTGTAAGGATTCAGTCTGAAAGGCCTGTGTGATTGTTATAGCCATCGAATGATTCGCCTTTTGAATCCCGATACGGCGTTTTGAGAAATCCTTTTTTTTTCGCTTTTGCAGGGGCTAAATGGACGATGGGCAGCGCTTGTGCTCGTTTGGGATGATAAAGATCTTTTGGATCGGTTAAAGATTCGAGGGAATTCTATTCACCTCGTGATGGGGTAATTTAATTTTTTTTAAGTCTTCGGTCTGAATGGACTTACGACTACTCATCTTATGTATGCAGTGTTTTTTTTTCGATTTTTTAAATTCATTTTGGGATTTTAATTTGGGAGGTATTAGGAATTGATTGGAGTTATCATTTTGTGAGCATCAGCGCCGCCACGCGGTCATTTAACATCGCACATAATCGCCTGATTATCGGGTTTTTATTACCAAGCCATAATAATTGAGTATTTTCTCTTGAATGTTTGATATAGGAAAACCATCACAAGCCATAATGAAAATCATACCTAGAAGGTTTTTAAGGTAGAGTTAGTATGGACTAGTCATTACCAAAGTAACAAATATCTTCTCTTCCTATGTACAAGACCGCGTCAATGGCTTCCGCGTTTTTATGTCAGGAACATTTTTTTTTAATATCTTTTTCATGTGTTTTAACCTCCATGTTAGGCCTTGAACCAATTTTTATATAAGCGTATTCGGTCAGTAAAATATGTGCCTTTGAAAATTGCATAAGATCCTGATTTTTATGTAGAATAGAATTTCACAAGACTGAGAAATAGAGCGAAAAAGTAACTAAAAATTCATCCGTATGTCTGTCATAAACATTGAGACGCCTCGGAAGCGTGAAAAAATGTCTGAAATGCGAAGAAAAAATGATTCCCCAATTTCTCCGTCAAAGGGGAACGGAAAAGTCTGCAGGATGGCTTAAAAAATTGGTTCACTTCTGAGGTACAGAATGAAATGAACTGCAGGGAATTTAAAGAGGCCAAATGCTTTTAATAACTGTTTAAAAGCGTGAGGTGGAATCGTCGCCATCTTTGCGGCCCTGACGGTTTTAAAACAAGATGACGCCGAGAAATCGTCCACCTCGTAATTTTAAATAGTCATTTAAATTATTTATCCTCATCAGATCACCCTCAAATTGCCTTATCGTATTTTTCTGAAGTGAACTAATCTATTGTGCCGCTTTTCTGATAGCTTTTCCCTTCATTTCGGTCATTATTTTCCACTCCCGAGGCATCTTAATAGTTCGACGCGGTTCATTTGACTAATTCAACCAAAGTGTCGATCCCTTCTTTGTTTTTCTTTATTATTAAATATATTCATTTGTATCGGTAATGAGAAGATGACTAGTGAGGTAATTCAATATTTATTTGCGCTTGGGTTTGAAAGATACATTTGGAAGAAATTCTATCGTCATTGATGGCCGTTGTTGGTAATGCTAACGAAGAGAAACCGAGAGGGAGTATATTATACATTTTTTGATTGTGATGTAGCGGTTAGCGTAGTGAAGTTAGATAATTCATTTTTATTTTCATCTGTTGCTTTTTTTCTTTCGGTGTAACCAATTGTACCGGTGTGAGCGAGAGGTGATAAAATCTGTTGCGAAGGGATGAGTCCAATCCAGAATATTTGAGTAATTGTTTAAACAAATACAATGGAATTGGGCTCACACCTTCGCTGATGATTTTCAATTGTTAATTATCTTAATCAGAACATTTGTATCACCAAAGATGCATCGAGTTGTTCGCGACCTGGCCAAATATTGTTCAATTAATATTTCTAAGTGTTCTAGAGTCGCTAGGGATGGGGTGAATTTAATTAGGATCAAAGGACTGTAACGTTTGCTCTCTATTTTTGATACAGCCATATTTGATTGTATTTTTGTAGATAAAAATTTGTCATCAGATATCGAACAGTGAATGTTGTAATACTCGTGCAAAAAAAAAAACAAAATTTGTTAAAAGAGGGGCTAGAAAATAGACAGTAAGCGTATTCGAGAATTGGAGGTGTATGTGAGCTTGGATTGAAGAATACCCGTAAGAAAATCCAACATTGTAATTTTCTGATGGATGAAAACTTGCGATACATGAGCAGTGGAAATTTAAGGTGGAAAATGAAGCAGGAGAGTAGTCTGATGTAAACAAATGTGTAAGAAATACAGAGTCTGTTGTGAATTTGATACTGATGTCGTATTTACATGGGAGATAAACACCTTTTCCCACCATAAATTTATCACCTTAGTATTTTTCCTCAATGATTATTCAACGGAATAAAAAAATTTCAGTATGATGGGTCGAAAGAGTGCGGGGATTCCCCCATGGCGCCCTCTCTTAAAGGTTACGTGCGCGGCGAGAAATAGGGAATTTAGAAAATGCATCTATATTTATACGCTTTATTCCTCTGTTATCGATCCATTTATCTTGGAATGAACTTAACTCTTGCTGCGCCTTGTGGCCTAAGGACGAGGTCCGGAAGCATTTGGATCTGGTGAGCAAGATCCACTGGTTCGAGGTAAAAATTGTATAGTAGATGTCCTATGAGGGTCTTTAGTTCCATCAGGGCAAATTTCTGGCCGATGCAGTTCCGTGGCCCTGCGCTGAAGGGAATGTATTGGTAAGGGTGACGACCGATGCTGTTCTCCGGGAGGAATCTGTCCGGGTCAAAGCGTTCTGGGTCTGGCCAAAAATTTGCGTCCCTGTGGAGGTCGTAAATGTAGAGGTGGGCCATCGCCCCTGCAGGGATCGTAAAATTCTCTGCAAAAAGAATTTAATTCCATTTTTTTTTGCTCCATATATTCGCAGTCAGATGGAAATGGAGAAATCTTCACAAGAGCTTAAAAAAATTGTTCACTTTGTAGAAGTACAATGGAACAAGATACATGTGTTTTGGACAGAAAAAATAATTTTAATGATCGTTTGAAAATGCGAGGTGGCTACGTCGCCATCTTGATACTCCCCAGACGACAAATGGAGTGTCTAAGATGGCGGCGTCCAAATAGGGACGGATAATCTTTGCGGGGGATTCTGAACAGGAAGAAAAGCCAGAATGTGTAATTACTCAAGTGTAAATCATCGTCAAGACTTCTGGAAATAAAGGGCACACTTGGGTAGAGCCTCAGAGCCTCTTTGATGCACCTCTCGAGATACGGCAACTGCGGCATTTCGTGAATTCCCATTTTTCCATCGCAATCCCTCATCACAGCATCCACTTCATTCCTCGCCATTTCTTGAGAATCCTTGTGCTCTGCGAGCAGTAGGAGAGTAAAAGTAATCCCCATGGCCGTTGTATCGTGACCCTTCAATTCATATTTCATAATTCAGCAATGAAACAATTAAAAATTCGTAAAGTCATCGGTCTTCATCGACCCGCGGTCTAACCTCGAACATAAAAGTATCGACTTCCTCCCAGATACCGTCTTCATCGATATTCTGATGGGTTTTCATCGCTGCTATCAACAGGTCAAGCATGGCAAGTCTCTTTTTTGATTTTTCAAAATTAATGTTTAGTACGGAGTCATCCTGTTGGAGTTGCTTCAGTAGGACATTATTTGTCTCTTCGTGGTACTGTTGGCGTTCTCTGATAATCTGAATTTTTAATTTTATTTTCAATTTTTTTTTTACTTCATCTCGAAAAAACATCAGGAAAGATTTTTTCTTTGGGGTTTTATCTACTCACTTTTTTAGAGAATCCACGGATAATATTGAGACATTTGTCATGAATTTTTCCTGATTTCGTAAGGGAAAATATGAAGTCACTGTGCAGCCACGGACGAAGAAGTCTAGAAATTCATCATATTCTTACCATTTTCAACGCTTCAATTATTTAAACAATTTGATCGAAATAATTACCTATGAAGAAGAATATGTCCCAACGTTTGGACGGCATTTCTGTACGTCTTCTGGAAATTATCGGAAGACGCCTCCATGCGGACTAGAGAAGTACCCATGGCTGTTTCTGAAGAAAATTTTGTTTCGCGAATTCTCAGCGAAAAGAGGATGAAAATGCCTTCAGTATGATTTTAAACAATTGTTCACTTCATAGGAACGCAATGGGATAAGTTTGAAATTATTTGAACACGGTAAATTGGATTAATAACCATCTAAAAAACGCGAGGTGGCGACGCCGCCATCTTAAGTACAAGCACAAGGGATATCCGAATAAAATGGCAGTGACTGCAAATTTTCTGGAAGATTTACAAGATAAATCTTACCGCATATCGTGTTCAGTGTGTACTTCGCGGCGAAACTAACAAGATCAACAGTAGTCTCCCCCCCAATCGATCGCAGATTTTCCACCATGCGATGACCTTCTAGATCGAACACCTCGACAAATTCTCGAAGAATATTAAAGTGAAAAGCTGGGGTCAGAATTTTTCTTCTCGTTTGCCATTTTTGTCCGGTACTCGTTAACAGTCCCGTGCCGAACCAGGAATGCAGGAATTGGTAGATGGCTGCTTTTGAGATGTGTTTCTGACTGGACAGGAGGAGCTACAGAATTAATTAATTGATTTAAAAATTCACCTACTGTAGACGGAAATATTTGCACGATGGCTTGAAAAAATTGTTCACTCGAGTGAATTGTAAAATCAAAAGGTGAATGTAATTCGAATAGACGAAATCATTGTAATGATCTTTCAAAAATGCGAGGTGGCGACGCCGCCGTCTTTAGACCCCATTGGGGATTCCCCGCACGATTGAGTTCCTTCCAGCGTTGCCAGATTACGTGATAATTACCTCGGCGTCGTCGGGATGAGACAGACAAACTGCAACCCAGCGTGGTGTTGTTATTTTGTAGATTGGATAGTATTCTCGGTGAAATCGACGCAAAGTTTTCCACAGTTCAACTAGATGTGAACAACAATTAATTCCAATCAATAATTTTTTCATATAATTTTCATTTTTGTTTACTGTCCAATCCCAAATATTCAAATAACAATTATCGCGAGTCGATATCAGTGCTATCGTCCGTACTTTTCCCACCGGAGTCCACATAAATCCTCAAAATCATTCGATTACGCATTTTATAATTCGAATAAGAGGTTTTTTGTGGAAAATAATATTTTACTACTCCGAAACACGATAAAGCGCCGAGTACTTTAATCGCTGATAACAGAAGGTCATTGAGCTATATAAAGAGGATATCCACTTGTTCTCTAGAAATTTTCCAAGGTAAACATGAAAATCAAGAGATTCTGGAAAGAAATTCTTTAGCGAAGGGAATAAAATTAAAACTAATCAAGGAATAATTAGAATAAATTCAAGCAAACGTTCAGAAATAGCGATTTCCTGGTGTTTATCACCTGGACTGACGATGAAATCAAGGGTATTCCCAATAGGTGTTGAGGACGGCGGTCCTGGTATGACACTGATGACTTTATTAATCCTTCGTCGCTCTATCAGAAACTTGGTCCATTTAAAAATTCGTGGAATCAGCAGGAGGATAAAGGCAATGGCTAAAAGTATCAATGCAGCCATTCTCAATTGAACGATTACAACTTGTTGCGCCTGCACTCAGACTTCAACTGCTCCCACTCGCGTCAGTTACTGCCGAGTTGCGAATTTATTGTGAGAAAAATCGGTAGATATGAAAAATGAGTGAATACATTGGCCATGATCTCTTGCTTGGTGAAAACCTGATTGTTCATCGGGTCTTATTATTTGAAGGAGTCATACATTAAGAATAATCAATTAAAATTACGGAATGACTCGTGCAATCGGCAATGGGAAATCGTTTTCGATTTTTTTTATTAATATAGTCAGTGTCAACTGTCTCTGTATTAATTATTATATCAATTTTTATTTGTTATTTATTGTTTATCAATTCAATGGCGAGTGATAATATCAATAATTTTGATGGGACATTAAGATTTGGTCGCAGGGATTTTCCATCGAAATCTTGGAAAATTCTCCGGAAAAATTCTAATCCTGTTCGTATTATTAGAATAAAAAATATAAATATTTGCAATTAGTAGTTTATTTATACTGGCGGAGCGGTAATTAGGTCTACACCGGATCTATTTTTAATTATTCAAAAAAAAAAAATATGTAGTGCCCCCCACCGAAATTACAATCCCGTTGCACCCTGTCACAATGGGGATGAAAAAAGTCGTTTACAACATCAGCAATTATAAATTTTCCAGACCTAATTACCGCCTCAGGAATGTAGCACATGGGAGTGTCGCCCCAGTCCAATACACTCCTGTCTCTCCGACTTGTAAGAATAGATGAATGCAATATATTATAATTGAAATATAATATGATATGATAAATAATAAAAAATTATGTCATATTATATATAATATAATAATATATTATGTAATTAATTCTTTTACAGGTGTATGTAGATGGATTCAGGGGATGATTCTGAGACGATATGTACCTATGAATTTCAACCCCATTTTTCCACCCTCACTACCCCATTTCCAAGATGGTCGACGCACCTATAAAAAAATGTCTCAGGGGTATACACACCTGGGCTCCATCCGGTCTTTAAATCATCGATTTATCTGTCAAAATTTTAATTAATAGTATATTATTTAAATTTTATTTGCAACAATAATAATTTTATTAGATATGCAGCCCTTGGGACAGTTGTGAGATAATATATTAATAATTAAAATTTATTTTACAGAAACTCGTCATTTGCAATTGTTATTCATTTTTATTGTTGAATTAACATTTTATTCGTGTTGTTTTATCCCAGAATAAGACGAAATAATTGATGAATACAGTAAAAATAAATTAACCCACGTGTTCTAATTTTTTAATTATGATATTTAACTGAATTTTGGGACAATTTAGTTATTGATTGGAACAAATTTCACGTGCATTTTATGATCGAATCTGATGATGAAGTCCAGTACTAAACGCGAATCGCGTATAAGTTCCACTGGTTCAAGGTAGAATTTCGAGATGAGTCCTGCCAGAACGGTTTTCAACTCCAGCATTGCAAATTTGTTTCCTTAAATAAAAAAATAACAAGAATCATCAACACAATCCATTGTAATTCTCCCAAAAAAAATTATATTAATCTCTAATAATTAAAAAATATTACCGATGCAATTTCTCGGGCCAAGACTGAACGGTAGGTAAGAATAAGGATGTCTCCCCTTGGAATTCTCTGGAGAAAATCTCTCAGGATCGTAAACCTCCGGATTAGGCCAGAACTGAGGATCCCGATGAACATCAAAAATTTGGACAGCTACTTCGGTCCCTTCAGGTAGGAAATAGTCCCCTGAAATAGAGTCCCATTTAAATTTTTCAATCCCACCGACACAATTCTGAATATTTGAATGAAGTTGTGAATAGAGTACTGAGTTGCAAGTCAGATTTTAATGTTCGAATAGCAAGAGGAGCCACGGAGTAGAGTCTCATCGACTCCTTGATGCATTGCTGGAGATAATTCAGCTGCTGAAGCTCTTTCATAGTTATTTCTTCTATGGGAAGACCATTCAGTACTTCATTGATTTCTCTGCGACATTTTTCCTACGAAAATTATCATTTAATCATCGGTATCGAGTGAAATATTTAATGAACTTCAATTGATGCTGTTCATTGATCACCTGAATGTCCTTGTGCTCTGCTAGGATTATTGTTGTTAGAGCCAATGCTGTAGAGGTGGTATCGTGACCCTGAAAATAAAATATCTCCCGTATGTAGTCTCAGAACGTCCCATTTTCTTCAATAAATAATCCGCAAACAAATCCGAGAATCTCTTCTACTCACTGCTACCACGAACATGTCGACTTCCTCCTGAAGACCCGCATCGTCGATGCCAGACCTCTTCCATGCGGCGAGCAGAAAATCGAGGAACGCAAGTTTCTTACCACTTCCTATCAACCCGGGTAAAAAAAATTGTAATCGAAATGTTTTTTACAAATTTTCGAAAAATTCCTGGAAACCGTTTCAGATTTTTTTTTAAACAAAAAAAATTGGGAAGCCAAAGAATTGTATTTTTGGGAAATGTTTTGAAATATTTTTCCAAAATTTGAAATTTTTAAAATAATTTTCTAGAAATTTTTGCGGATATAATTTTTTCTTTTAATTATACTGTTATTTTCTTACATTTTTTATTTTTTTAGATTCTCAAAAAATACGCTATCTAAATTATAAAAAAATTTTCCTATTCAAATTTTTGAAAAATTTTTCAAAATCTCTCAAAAAAAAAAATTGTTTAATTTTCCGATTTTTTTTTTATAAAAAAAAATTCTAAAAAGTTTTCCAGAAATTTTTGGAAAATTTCGAAAAAATATTGCGATTACAATTTTTTTTCCTCGGGAAGAATTAAATTTCATTCGTTTCACTTAATTTCATACTTGTCATTTTATCGTCTTCTTGATCTGCACTTGTTCCATTCGATCCCCCTAGATATCTCCAGTCGTTCATTTGATGGTACTCCTTTCTAGCTTCAATAATTTTCTTCGAAAACGCATGAAGAACCTTGACTACCTGCTGATACTCCCTTCCCATGCTCGTCAACGAGAAAATCCACTCGCTCTGCAACCAAGGCCTCATGAATCTGCAATTAATTCCGTTATCACACAGTCCTCAACAAATATCTACAGCTAAATTACCGGTACTGGAATATGTATCCAGCTTTCTGGATTCCCTTCATGAAGGCAGCAAACTCCAGGTTCTTATCATCCAGATTAATTCCCATCGCCGTTTCTA